ATTTGGCACCCACAGAAGTTATTTCAATTTCACTTAGGGCAGTGAAGGAGGGCAGGTCATCAGGGGTGATGGGCATTGTAGTCCCAACAACCGCTAGCGACCCAAATTTGAGAAACACTGACTTAGGGTTATATCCTCTACTTACTCAATGGATTGATCTATTGAAAACATTCTGCAATTGATTTTTAAAAGGTTCCCCAAATCAGATCTAATCTATTAAAAGTTTTTTAAAGGAAGATGTGAGGGGAAATAGAATTACCTTTCCCCAAAATTATGGCTTCTGCATGTGTGCAAAATATGCTTTCCCCACCCCCCACCCCTTTCCCCCCTCACATGCAGTTTTAATCAAACTATTGGTTGGTTGAGTGATAGTCTTATGATTAGTTGACTTACCCACACACACAAAGCGATGAGCTAGCAGAATGTACTGTCTTCTGATGGCAAGTGGTCAGGAATGATGGGATTTGTAGTCCCAACAACATGTTAGAGGACAACCTGATGATTACTCTTACAAACCATAGGTTAAAAGCAAACATGGACTACCACTTACTATAATGGGCATGTAGCCACTTGGACAGCCTCCAGATTGCTGTGGGAAGCCAGCAAGCACGACACGACCGCAAGAGCACTTTCCCCTCCTGCCATTTCCAAGCAGTTGGTGTTCAGAAACGTCTATACCTCTGACAGTGGAGGCAGAACAGAGACATTGTGACTGGTAACCATTCTCCTCCATGAATAATTTTCTGAGAGGGATTCAGTCGGATTCCAGAAATTTTAAAAGGTAAAGGTAAAGGGACCCCTGACCATTAGGTCCAGTTGTGGCCGACTCTGGGGTTGTGGCGCTCATCTCGCTTTATTGGCCGAGGGAGCCGGCGTATAGCTTCTGGGTCTTGTGGCCAGCATGACTAAGCTGCATCTGGCGAACCAGAGCAGCGCACGGAAACGCCCTTTACCTTCCCGCCAGAGTGGTACCTATTTATCTACTTGCACTTTGATGTGCTTTCGAACTGCTAGGTTGGCAGGAACCAGGGACCGAGCAACGGGAGCTCACCCCGTCGCGGGGATTTTTATTTTAATATTATCCTTCATTACCTTAATTTTCTGTGTGCAATGCAAATGTTACTATGATTAGATTTTAATTTTTTTAAAAAATGTATAATTTCAAGTTTCAAGGTGTCGTATTTACAACATCTTTCTCTACTAGGACATAGGTAGAAATATCGGTACATAAAAAGAACGCTGCATCTTTCTTTTTGTTTACTTAAAGAAGGTGGATTTCCAGGAGGGCACTGAGTAATTTCTTTCTTTCTTTCTTTCTTTCTTTCTTTCTTTCTTTCTTTCTTTCTTTCTTTCTTTCTTTCTGAAAAAGGGGCGGTAGACCAAATAAGTTTGGGAGCCTCTGGGATAAACTAAAGAGTACAGGATAAACTATTGATTGATGTGGACAAGTCTGACCTCTGCGCCAGCAAATCAGGATAGATTGCTCAATGAACAGCTTGCCTGGCAAACCCACCACCATGCCATTTTCAATCATTCGTTGCCCAGGCAAACAGGAAAGTTTCTGTCAACTTTAATTGGTTTTCCTCCCCTTGCTGAAGCAGGCATGTGTGAGGGAAAGAGGCAGTGTGTAAGTTTGCGAGGTAATTTGCAAGCCGCCTTTTCATGCTGACGAAATGTCGCCCCGCTTGATTTGATACGGAGCATGTTTTGATGTTTCAAGAACACTTCCTTTTCCAGAGAAGTTGCCGTAAGAAGCTGCCTTTGGGAGTTCTGCATTCTGGGAAACATGGACTAGTACCAGTGCCCTATAGTATGATCATTATGGGAACTGGGCAACGGGAATAGATTAGAAGGTGTTCTGATAAAAGAAGTCTCTGCGAAGATGGAGGCAGCTGCAAAACGCGCCTGGCGAGATGAATAATTCAGCAAGGAAGCGTTCTTCCAATGAATCTAGATGTAATCCGTAATGTCGCGGTTAAGGGCTCTGAAGTGGAGGGGAAGATTAGATTACACATGCAGGAAAAGCAATAGTTCTAGTTTTCGGACTGCAAGCATTATCTCTCTCCCTCCCTGAAATGAAATTCAAATCTGGTTCTGTGTTTGAGGAGCGCGTTCCTCTGATGCTGGGCCCCCTCACCTGCTGCTGGGCCCCCTCAGGTTTATCTGGCACTGACAGATTTGAGCAATGCAACAAGCCAAGCTAGTAGATTTCATTAGAGCCAGAGTTGGCACCTGGCTTGCTGGGCAACCTCCAATGCCTCCTCCACAACCTACTGCTGATGAACACCTAGCATTCTGAGCAGTGCTGGGACGAATTTCCCACAATCCCCTGGAGTGATGCTATGTCAGGTCATTTGGAGAGTCAGCTGGCTGGAGCCCTGGCAACCCCGTCCAGCGATACGAAGTTCTGACGCCGTCCCGGATGAGGTCTGTCTGCTTGACTCAACTTATTGATCCCTCTGTGTGGGTGTTTCATCCCTTATCAAACGTTTAAGAGAGCCGCAGATTCGTTTTAGCAACTAATGGCTATTCTAAAATGTTAAGGAATTGATCTGTGGTTCCTGTGCATCGTTGTGGGGTGAGGGGGTGGGGAGTTCATTTTGCAGCTCCCTCCTCTCCTCAGTTTTGGGCTTCATTGTGTGCTGCGTGCATCTTGGCATGAGCAGCAGGAACATGGTAAATGGTGGGGGGGAGTCGGTTGAGAGAAGATGCTCCCACCCATAACTGCCTTGCACTAAGAGTTCGGGCTCATCCAGTGAACATGGTCATTGGTTAGTTCAGGGTAGGCACAATGTTAGTGCTCCTTTCACAGAATTCTGCAGAATTCGATGCCACAAGGGTAGGTCACTCCAGATCTGTTAGTCATGTTGACTACATGCAACCTCCCCTTTCTTTTTCTTTTTCAATTTTTTTTATTGATTTTAACATATAAATTATAAAATGTACCACAAAACTTATCACTTATACAATCTTTTTAGACTTCCATCAGCACCTCCGATGATCCACCGTTTTAACCACTTCTTATCCATTTCTTAACTTTATCTTGCCTTTACATCTCTTAACAAATCATCCTCCCCCTTGTCCATTTTTACAATACTTCCAATAATACTCCTCACAAAACTTATTGCAAACCTACAAACGTCGTCTGATCATCACAAATACTTTTCAAATAGTCCGTAGATTTACTCCAGTCTTCCGTGAATTTCTGGTCCCGCCGGTTTCGAATCCTTCCTGTTAGTTTATCTAGTTCTGCATAGTCCATTAACTTCACCCTCCATTCTTCAATCGGCAACCTCCCTTTTCAGAGACGGACGGTGAACTTCTGCTTACTAGATGGTTAGGACTGAGTACGAGAAGCTAGTTGCTTATAGGCGTCCTAGAGGCACCTGGTTGGGAACTGTTGGACAGGAACCATGGACTGAATAGACCTTTGATCCAGCACAGGAGGAGGGTTTTTTCTTCTTCTTCTTACGTTCCTGTGATCTGTAATTTGAAGGCCAACTATGTGGCAACAAAATGTAGGGAACAATCCATGCTGGCTGGTTAAGCAACAGTCGGTTCCTGATTTGCATTTCAGCAGACTCATGGTGTTGTCGAGTTGAACACTTGGGGTTTTAGGATTTCCTCTTGTGTAACGCACCATGGAAGCTGGTCCATTAATAGGGTACTGCCCCACCAATCTCAGCCTGCTCTCAGCCAGACTCACTTGCCTTCCTTCTTACATCCAACCAGTAAGGGGGTGGCTCTGCCCATCATTAGCTATGGCTGTACCTAGGGTTGGTCTCCTTGCTTTCCACTCTAGAAGTCCTAATGGGCCCCAGCTGCCAGTAGTAATTCAACACTGCCCTTGGTATCCAGAGAAACAATGGAGTGTGCCTCTGAGGGGTGAATTCAAATTGCTGCATTTGCAGCACCAAAATGACCCCTCTGGGACGCAAGCCTGGGCAGTGTGTGTGGACATCCTGGGCTGCCCAGACAACAAGACCCCCCTTTTGGTCTCACTGATGTGGTCCAAAGGAAAGCAGAGCAAGGTGTTTGTCTGGAAGAGTTGCCAGAAGGAGGTGTACAAAGCACCATTGGTAATACACACATGGAATCATGCAATGCAATGCAATGTTGCCCATCCTGAAAAGGCCTCTTAAAAAACTTGAATGCATTTTGGGAGAGTTGGTTGCAGGTGGGTTTTCGTGAATTTCACAAGTTGGAAAAATGGCAACATGGGGGGCAAAATGCCATTAACTTTTTTGTTTATGGACCCATTTTTAAAATGTAAACTATTCAGTAATCTTTGTGAAGGTGGCTACAAAAGGTGATATGACAACCTATGGGTCTCCAGCTGTTTTGGGACTACAACTCCCATCATCCCTAGCTAGCAGGACCCAGTGGTCAAGGATGATGGAGATTGTAGTCCCCAAACAGCTGGAGATCCATTTGTGGAAACCCTGTTCTACTCTATACTCCAGTCCTTGAAAGCCAGGGAATGCAAATACAGCCAGGACACCCATGATTCCCACCCTCCCTAGCTATAGCTATAGCTGTATATGTATCTATAGATAATACCTACCTTGCTGTTTAACCTTCTTCCAGTACTGTTGTTCCCTAGCCCAGCCCCAAAGCTGGCCCTGTGTACCACTCAGCTGCCATCTTCCTTGCTCCAGAGTATACATCATTCTCTGGACCATATGGAAGGCAAAACCCGGCCTCTAACATAAGCTGCAAACCATACCTTGTACAGTGGTACCTTTGGTTGCGAACGGGATCTGTTCCGGAGGCCCGTTCGCAACATGAAAAGCCCGCAACCTGAAGTGCTGTATCTGCGCAGGTGCGCGGTGCGATTTGGCGCTTGTGCGCATGCGCGAGTGGCAAAACCCGGAAGTAACCCTTTCCGGTACTTCCGGGTCGTCGCGGGACACAACCTGAAAAAAGGTAACATGAAGCAAACGTAACATGAGGTACGACTGTATATATTGTGCTCTCAAGCTTTGTCTTATATCCCACAGGCATCCTGGTGGGGACCCTGGATGCAGTTTTGGACTCTACGTCAAGAGTTGCCCCTTTTCGCATCCTGCACCAGACACCAGATTCTCAAGTCTACTGGTCTATTGCATGTGGTGAGTACATACAATTCAGAACTGAGCCAAGCTCAGGACGATGGCAGTGATAACTTGGGGTGCCTTGTCATTGTGGGGAAGAAATGCTGCCTGATACAGAACAAAGACTTCACTTTTAGTTTAGCGTGCGGGGGGTGGGGTGGGGGGAGGTAGGGGGACATCAAACCTTTGGGTCAGATCAGGGTTCCCATCACTTCCCCCCCCGGTTCTTTGGGAAGGAGGGTTGTTCAGTGGTAGAGAACACGCTTTGCATGCAGAAGGACCCAGGATCAGTCCCTGGCCTCACCAGTTAAAAGGGTCAGGAGGCAAATGATGTGGAAAGGCCTCTTCCTGAGACTGTGGAGAGCTACTGCCAGCCAGAACAGGCAGTATGGAGCTAGATGGACCAAATAATCTAAGGCTCTATTTGTGCTATTATGTTTAAAGCACCACAATACCACTTTTTAAACAGTCGTAGCTCCCCCCCCAAAAAATTCTGGGAACTGTAATTTGCTAAGGTAGGCTGAGAGTTGTGAGAAGACACCCCCCCCCAATTCACCTCACAGAGCTACAGTTCCCAGGGAAGAAGGCTTGGCTGTTAAACCGCTCTGGGAATTGTAGCTCTGTGAAGCATAGCTGTCAACTTTCCCCTTTTCTTGCGAGGAATCCTATTCAGAATAAGGGAATTTCCCTTTAAAAAAGGGAAAAGTTGACAGCTATGCTGTGAGGGGAACTCTTAGCACCCTGGACAAACTACATCTGCATGGATTGTTTGTGGAACGCATGGCCGTTTGAAGCGATATCATGGCGCTTTAAATCTGTAGTGCAAATGGGGCTAAAGGCAGCTTCCTATGTTCCCTTTACAACTGTTTGCATGTGCTTCTCTTGGATTCAGTGTGAAGCTATGGATAGGGTCCTCCAAGCCATCCATGCCCCAGCCCATGTATCCCTTCCATAACAAAACCAGCTGCTATTATATTAAGTGCAGTGCTTGCCTTGCTAACACTTGAATCTTGTGTGCTCTGGAACCTCATGCAGATAATTGTTCAGTGACTCCAAGAAAGCGCACACAAAGGAGAGAGAGTGAGAAATCCTTCTTATTGTTTTTTTTTTGTTCAGAAGCACGGCAAGGATCATGTTTGTCTTCCTGCACTACCGGGGAGCTGTTTACCAAAGGACGTGTCACCCTAAAGCCAATGAGAAATTGTTTTCTGAAGCTCATCCTCAAGTCCTCTTAATAGGTTCTCCATCCCTGATGTAAGGCCCGCTTGCACTATACATTTAAAGCAGCATCATACCAGTTTTAGCAGTCATGGCTTCTGCTAAAGAATTATGGGAGCTGTAGTGCTGAGAGGTGTTAAGAGACCCACCCCACCCCAAATTCATCTCTCAGAGTTCCAATCCCCAGAGTTCCTTGGGAAGAGGGAATGACTGTGAAACCACTTTGGGAATTGTCACTCTGTGAGGTGGTCTCCTAACAACTCTCAGCACCCTCAGGAAACTATATCTCCCAGAATTAATTTAGGGAAGCCATGACTGCTGAAAGTTATATGATACTGCTTTAAATGAATAGTACAGATGGGGCCCTCAGCAAGACAAACAAAATATTTGATTTGCTGTAAGGCAGCCCCCTGTGATCATAAGCCTATTTTCAACTCAATTTCAATTACTTCTGATTCTCCCCCAAGTCCCTTTTCTTGGGGCAACTGCACTAAAAAAGACAGAGAAGGGCTAACAGAGAATAATATCAGCAGAATACTCAGTGCTCTTTTTTCTGACTTTGCAACAAGATAGGAGATGGTCGCTGGGGAAAAAAAAGGGGGAACTCTTGTTTACCCAGCTGGTGTAGGAGCTTCTAGTGTACCCAGTGAAGTTTATTTAATACTAGTTAATGTTTCCTATCAGGAGCCAGCAGAGAAGAAATAACAGCGCACTGGGACTGGCTAGAGCAGAATGTGATGGCGACTCTCTCTGTGTTCGATTCCAGTGAGGACATCACCAGCTTTGTGCATGGGAAGATCAGAGTACGTTAGAAGCTGGTTTGAAGCAACTTTGGGACTCTTGCACCCAGTATTAGGGCTGGGCGATATATTGTCCAAAACCACTTTAAAATCCACATCGTGATAACAGTTTTATAATTTTTGACCGGGCAATATATTTCAAATCATGATGTGTGTGCATGTGTGCTATGCAAAAATCACAGTGTGGGGAAAACCATGAAGCCAGCCAATGCTTCTCTTGAGTCCTGCAACACCTGTTAACTCTGCTGGCTTAGCTCTCCCCTGCCTCATGGAGGGGGCAGCGACACCAGCAAAAATCACAATATGGGGGCGGGGGACAGTGAAGCCAAACAGTGCCTCTACATAGCTCCCTCCTTATTCCAGACATTGTAATATATTGGTACATCACGATGTTTTGTTGGTGATATATCAAGATGTTGAAAACCAGATGTCTACCCAGCATCCAGGAGCCATGGTGGAATGCAGAAATGTTGCAGAGGGGAGGGTGTTGAAAGGCTCTGGGACTGAATGTGGACCTCTAGGCCTCGCTACCTGGCCCTCAAAAACCTCCCTAGGCTGCACCCCTAACTGGACCTGAGCTTTTCTGCTCTGACAACACTTCTGGGTACAGGATACAGCAGCTATACAAGGGGGGGTACTGAAATAAGCCTACTGCCCATACTTGTTGCTCTGCCTGCTGTTGCCTCTGGCCCCACCGCAAAGCAGTGGCCCGAGGCTCTTGGCTTCAGGGGAGTGACTTGGGTAGATTACCTGGCGTTCAGCACCTCATTCACCTTTTTTTTCTAGGGTTTGATTGCCGAAGAAGGGAAAGGGTCCTTAATAAGAGAGGAGGATCCTGAGAGGTTCCGTGAGGCTCACCTGAAGTTCGGGAAGTGTTTCGGGCTACCGGAACAAGAGAAGCTGGTGACGTACTACTCATGCAGCTACTGGAGAGGCCGGGTGCCCTGCCAAGGATGGCTGTATCTCAGCACCAACTTTCTGAGCTTTTATTCCTTCCTACTGGGAGCTGAAAGTAAGTGGAGTCCTGCCGTTCGCTGTGATTCCCTTGCACAGTGGTGGGTTTTGAAATGAGCTTTATGTCTGAAGCTACAAGTGGATTAATTAATAGATATCTTTGAAAGACAATTGTCTATCGAAAAACATAACATAAAGATAAAGGGAAGTACAGTGGTACCTTGGTTCTCAAACTTAATCTGTTTCGGAAGTCCATTCCAAAACCAAAGCGTTCCAAAACCAAGGCACACTTTCCCATGGAAAGTAATGCAAAATGGATTAATCTGTTCCAGGCTTTTAAAAACAACCCCTAAAACAGCAATTTAACATGGATTTTACTATCTAACAAGACCATTGATCCATAAAATGAAAGCAATAATCAATGTTCTGTACTATAAAATAAATAAGACAGCATTATAGATGATAAAAATTAAAATTAATTTTTTTCTTACCTGCACTGATTATAGTCAAAAACGCAAAAAATAGCAAAAAGAAAAGCACCAAATATAACCTCAGAACACTGCAATCAGAAATGGAATGCTTTAATTACTATGGGAGGTGGGATTAAAATTTGCTTCTTAAGGGTAAAACGGGAGTAAAAAAGCCTTAATTTCTATGCGGGGGACTCAAATTTGCTGTGCAACAGTAAAAACGGAAGCTCAGGAGCACATTTGGCTTCCAGGGCAAAGTTCGAAAACCAGAACACCTACTTCTGGATTTGCAGCATTCGGGTTCTGAGTTTTTCGGGAACTAAGCTGTTTGAAAACCGAGTTACCACTGTAACTGCTTTCTTAAGCAGAAGCGCAGCTTGTAAACCTTGTACCACAAAACAGATCAGTATAAATACAACATAAACAATAAAAAAGAATGAGCATATTCCATTTTAGAATTCTAATCTGTACCAAGATCCTCTCTGCATTAGCATCTGAGCACATGCAGAAACCACCTTCTTGACCATGGGACCCGCTATTGTAACTCGCCAAGGGTTTGAGACCCATTGGATATACCCTCATCTGGGTTAGCCAACCAGTCAAAGCTGTTTCCATATGCCCATTAGGTCTCTGCATTTGGAGCAGAGCTTTTCATTGTGGTTGCCCCTTCTTGTGGGACAGCCTCCCTGTTGAGATACAACAGGTACCCCACTCCTTGTAGTTTCTGGAAACATATAGAGACATATTTGTCCTGACAACCTTCTCCAGCTGCTGAATCTATGTCCTGGATATTTGTGCTGTCCTTAAATCTGTTTTCTAGAAGCTATTTTGAAATCTCATCAACGATGAGAGTGAATGCTGTCCATAGAAAACAATGGAGAAATCAAAATTGGAGAAATCAGTATGTCCACCCCCCAAACTCCTAAAAACAGCCCAATGAGGATTGGGCATTTTCAGTGAGACTGGAATGCTGAAGGAACATTGATGAGGAAGAGGGATTGATCTGTGAATTGTAGCTTTGGGAAGGGAATAGAGGGTTACCTGACAACTCAGCACCCTTGAGAAACTACAGCTTCCAGAATTCTTTGGGAGAAACTATGACTGTTCAAAGTGGCATCATCGTCCTTCAAATGTACAGTCCGAATGTGGCCAGAAATACCAGGTTGTCAAAGCTGGACGTGTAGCGCTTAAAAGAGGAGATTTAATGCTGTTATGTTTTAAGGTTAATGCGAAGCAGTGGTATCTTTCCGTGGAAACGCAAAATATTTCATGGGATGCTCCCTTTAGGGTCAAAGGAAAATAGCTGGCCACCGTGAAGCCGAAAGGCATGAACATATTTCTTTTGTTCCCACCTGCAGTAAAACTTGTCATATCCTGGGATGAAATCTCAGTGCTCGAAAAGTCGTCCAACGTCATCCTGACAGAGAGCATCCACGTCTGCTCCCGGGGGGAGGATCACTATTTTTCCATGTTCCTGCACATCACTGAAACGTTCCTTCTCATGGAGCAGCTGGCCCTGTATGCTGTTCGAAGACTCTTTGACAAGGAGACGTTCGATAATGACCCCGTCCTCCATGATCCCCTGCAAATCACTAAGAGGTAGTGTGTGTGTGTGTGTGTGTGTGTGTGTGTGTATTATAATAATGAAAAAGACCTTCTGCTTCTGCTCGCTTCTAAAGCTGAGCTGGGGATGATATCCTAGTAAGGGGCTGCAACTCATTGGCAGAACATCTGCTTTGTGAGCAGAAGGTGTTGGGTTCAATCCCCAGCATCTCCAGGTAGGTCTGGGATAGACGCCCTGCCTGAAACCCTACACTGCCAGCCTGTGTAGACCATATCAGCTATTTCCCAAACTTGGGTCTCCAGCTGTTTTTGGACTACAACTCCCATCATCCCTATCTAACAGCACCAGTGGTCAAGGGTGGTGGGAATTGTAGTCCAAAAAAACAGACCCAAGTTTGGGAAATACTGAGCTGTCTGACACTGTATAAAACAGCGTCCTGTGATCTTCCTATGATGGTGATTTTATATTATTTTTGTACACGACCTAGAGATTTCCAGGCATTCCACACACACACACATACACACACACACACACACTGGCATGAGTTCTATTCAAGTGCAACCACATATATGTGTAGCGGGGTAATAAATGGAATCATACCAGGGTATGGCAGGAGAGCTGGAGAGCCCTTGTGGCTCATGAGGAGACCGTCCCTGGAGCTCAGAAGAGGACTTCATTGAGGGCAAAGGAAGGCCTGAAGAGCCCAGAGGCTCAGTGGGGCTTTGTTTAGGCCGCTCAGCCTCCCCACCTAACTTAATTCTGTCCAGATGTGTAATTTTATTATGTAGGAATGTTAGTTTTTAAAAACCTGGCCCCCTGCCCTTGTTTTTTGATCATTTTATTAGGCCTATTGTTTTTGCATAGCCTGTTTTTGGTGTTTCTTTTTTTTAAATTAATATTTTACAGCATTTTAAAATGTAAACAGCTTATAAGTTTGTTTATATTTTTGATTGAACGGTGCTTAAATCTTGCTAAACGAAAGCAAAATAAACACAGGTAACTTGGAAAGAGCTGTGTTTTCCTCCTGCCTCTGTTTTGCAAGACAAACATAATTAACCCACCACACTTCTTTCCTTAAACCCCCCCCTTGTTTTTTTCCTTCCCCAGAGGGCTTGAAAGCAGAGCCCACAGTGAGCAGTTTAATGCCTTCTTCAGGCTGCCGAAGGAGGAGTGTCTGCGGGAAGTGCACGAGTGTTTCTTATGGGTGCCTTTCAGCCACTACAATACTCTGGGGAAAATGTGCATCTCGGAGAACTACGTCTGCTTTGCCAGCCAGGATGGTTGCCTGTGCTGCGTAATCATCCCTCTGAGAGAGGTGAGTCAGGTGGGAGCCAAGGCTAAGCCGCCGCCACCTGCCACTCTGTTGTTAAGTCTGCCTCCCCTTCTAGAATCAAAGCAACTGCAGTCTAGCGAACATCCAAGTCGAGGGGCTTGTTACTGGGTTTAACTGCTTTTTTTCACCTTATTGTTTTACCAGAAGTTGTGATAGTATTATTTTAATGCTAGGATCTTAACAACACTTTTACAGTCCTTTTAAAATCGTTGACAGGGCAGGGTGGAGACGCACTCAGTAAATCAGACTGGTACTTTCTGGCTCTGGGTGCATTAACCAGCCAGCCCCATCCTGGTGCCCCTCCAAAAGACAAAAGAATAGTAGAATTGTAATGAACTACAAGAGCCTAACCCCTTACAGTGCAGGACTCTTTTGCCCAACGTGGGGCTTGAACCCACAACCATGGGATTAAGAGTCTCATGCTCTACTGACTGAGCTATGTTCAAGCAGCAAGCCAGCAACTTACATGAGGGTTATGTTCCGGGGATCGTGTCTAAAGCCAAATCCACGTATTATCAAAACATTGGATTCAATGGCGGGTGGGATTGCCAAAGTCTTTTTCCCAGTCTCCTTTCTGCTCCCTATTTATTTTATTTTAATATTTTTGCCAAGCACGTAAAGCTAAATGTGCACAAGTCAAATATGCTTGTGAGTTGTGGGTTTAGACTCTATACATTTAAAGCATATCTCGCCCCTGGCAAAGACTCCTGGGAGGTGTAGTTCACCCCACAGAGAGAGAGCTACAGCAACTTAACAAACTACATCTCCCAGGATTCATTGGGGGAAGCCATGGTTGTTTAAAGCGGTATGATTCTGCTTTGAAAGCAAAATTAAAAGAGGGTGAACCTCCTGGCCTCAGCTGTAGTGTAAGCCCTAGCTGTCCTCGGAGTGAATCAAACGTTTGAAGCCTTAACCTCTTGACCAAATTTAGTGAGAACGAGCCTTGTAAGAGTGGAATCTTACTGCCATCTTTGTGCATGCAAACACTTGCAGGTTGTATCAGTCGAGGTGTCTGATCCTGGTAGCAAAGCTGTCAGCATCGCAACCAGAGGGAAGAGAGCCTTCCGTTTTTCCGAAGTTCGGGATTTTGAACAACTGGTGGCGACGCTGAAGAGGAAATGTGATACCACAGCAAGCCAACAGCACAGCATGAGCACAGAGGTAAAGGCTCTGTTTGTCTAATTCATTGCAGGGTGGGGAGGGCGGTCTTTTATGACGGCTGTGTTCATTGGAGACACTATCCTTTTGAACTCCAGTTGCTGGAAAATGAAGGGGAGGAGAGTTTCTCAGGCCTTACTTGTGGGCCTCCCAAAAATGGGCACCTGGGTTGGCCACTGTGAGAAGAAGACTCTGGGCTAGTTGGACCATTGAGCTGATCCAACAGAGTTCTCCTTATGTTCCTTTGAGTCGGGAAATTAGAAGGTCGGCGGTTCGAATCCCTGCGATGGGGTGAGCTCCTGTTGCTTGGTCCCTGCTCCTGCCAACCTAGCAGTTCGAAAGCACGTCAAAGTGCAAGTAGATAAATAGGTACCACTCCGGCAGGAAGATAAACGGAGTTTCCGTGAGCTGCTCTAGTTCACCAGAAGCGGCTTAGTCATGCTGGCCACATGACCCGGAAGCTGTACGCCGGCTCCCTCGGCCAATAAAGTGAGATGAGCGCCGCAACCCCAGAGTCGGTCACGACTGGACCTAACAGTCGGGGTCCCTTTACCTTTAGCAAACTTTTGGGGACCAGGCACATGTTTGCAAACTGAAAGAGCTTGTGGTTAGTTCATATACCACCTAATGCCAGAACAGGGGGACTTTTCAGAAGGTTTAGGAGGTCACTCGGAAGTGCGCCTGCTTTTTCTACTTCTCTTAAAACACAGCTCCTGTCGTAAATGCGTTTTTTGCAGGTTGCTGCTGACTCGAACGCTGAGCCTCTCGCAGACTATTTTGAGGGGCAGCCGATGGCAAGCCACAAAGACAACAGCAAGATGGTTAGTACCGAAGCCCTCATGACTGTCTTTCACCCTCAGGATGCGGAGAATCTGGACGCTAAAATGGTAAGAAGGAAAAGCAGCTCCTGTTGTTGGAAATACATCTGTTCTATCCCCCCGCATCCCAACTTTTCATCTTTGCTTACTTTGCATTTGGTTTTGTTTTATGCACCTAGAGTTCATCGTTCTTGTGCACATTCCACCCCCTCCCCCAAAATGGGATCTGCAACAAAATGTTGCAGTTGTGGTGTGTTCCTGTTCAGGGAGGCAGCCAGGCAACATCTTCTAGGAGACTCCATTCCATCCCACCAAGTTTCCCATCCCTTTCTCCACCCAAGCTCTTCTGTTCCCCCTGAATGTGCTCATGACAGAAGATGCTCCAGGACCGATAGCCATCAAACCTCTGTTTAAAAACCTCCAAGGAAGGAGAGTCCACCGCCTCTCGTGGGAGTCTGTCCCACTGCCAAACAGCTCTGACCGTCAGAAAGTTTTTCTGAATGTTTAGTCGGAATCTCCTTTCTTGCAGCTTGAAGCCATTGGTCCAGAGCAGTAGAAAACAAGCATTCTCCCTCCTCCACGTGACAGCCTTTAAGATATTTGAAGATAGCTCTCATATCGCCTCTCAGTCTCCTCTTTTCCAGGCTAAACATACCCAGCTCCTTCAAGCGCTCCTCATAAGGCTTAGTTTCCGGACCCTTGACCATCTTGGTTGCCTTCCTCTGCACACATTCCAGTTTGTCAACATCCTTCTTAAATTGTGTTGCCCAGAAGTGGACACAGCGTTCCAAGTGTGGTCTGACTAAGGCAGAATAAAGTGGGACTATAATTCCCTTCATCTGGCCACTCTACTTCTGTCGATGCAGCCTAGAATAGCATTAGCCTTTTTTGCTGCTTCATCACACTGTTGACTCAACGTTAACCTTGTGGTCCGCTAAGACCCCTAGATCTTTTTCACATGTACTGCTAGTACATGATACCTTGCTTTTCTAGTTGAAAGAAAAAATGAAGGAGCAGTCCTGGAACATCCTTTTCGTAGAATGTGGGCGTGGTGTAAGTATGTTTCGGACGAGGAGGACGAGGGACCTGATTGTCAAAGGGATACCTGAGGTGTTACGAGGAGACCTTTGGCTTCTTTTCTCAGGTACTATCGGTTATGTTCTCATGGCAATGCATTGTTGTTGTTGTTGTTGTTGTTGTTGTTGTTGTTATATTGCAGTGTTGTTTTATTTATTCAGGTCTTATTCCACCCTTCCTCCCAAAGGAGCCCAGGACGGCAGACATCAAAATGTTAAAACAATACAATTAAAAATAACCCCGTACCATAATTTCAAGGTTGCCATCTATGGGCCCATCAAAAGTCTGGAGTTTATGGGGTTGCCTTTCAATTTCCCCCGAAAGTCAGTAGTGAGTGAGACAGGCTCGCCTCGCCAGGGGGGGGGGCATCCCACAAATGGGGAACCTACATCAATATCAATAAATATTTCCTGGGCAGCTTACAAACAAAATAGTATTGAAAATACAACATACAAGGTTGCCTCCAAAATTAAAGAATCAAGCGTTCTTAATACAGTTGTACCTTGGATCCCTTGGTACTCGAACGTTTTGGCTCCCGAATGCCGCAAACCTGAAAGTGAGTGTTCCGGTTTGCGAATGTTCTTTGGCACCCAAACGTCCAACGGGGCTTCCAAGGCTTCCGATTGGCTGCAGGACCTTCTTGCAGCCAATTGGAAGCCACGCTTTGGTTTCTGAATGTTTTGGAAGTTGAACGGACTTCCAGAACAGATTCTGTTCGACTTCCAAGGTACTACTGTATTTTTCTTGCTTTTCGGAAGGTTTTCAGTTATGTTATGTTTATCTACATACAGTATTCATTTAAAAAAAAAACCACAATGCAGCGAGATTCAGGTAGGTAGCTGTTTTGTTCTGACACAGTCAAAATAAAAAATAAAAATTAAAAATTGTCCAGTTGCAGTTTGCAACAATTGTCTGTAAAACTGTCCGATAAAAACCATGTAACATACTAAACATTAAGGTGTATGTGTGTGTGTGTATATATAGGCAATATGTATTTAGACAGAATTTAAGCTTGGCATGGGAGAGAATGATGCTGTCTTCTAAAGGCAGTGGAGGGGGTCGAGGTGGGGACACAGAATGGGCAAAGTATATTTTTAGGTGAGCGAGAAATAAAAATATCAGCATATGCTGATGACAGGAATCCAGGAATTGAGGGGCGGGGCAAATAGAGGGCGAGCCCCTTGTTTTGGAGGGATGCTCCCCCCCCACCAGGTACACCAGCCCCCCTGGCACTGCCTGTGTCTCGAGGGGCTGCAGAGCAGCTAATAGTTTGGTGCTAGCCCAGTTAAAGAGGAGGGTTGGAATGATGGGGAAAGAAAAATTGTGTGACCCACGCAGGAGCACTGCATGTCAGGATCCCAGTTTGAGTAGCACTGGCCTGGGTGGTTTATTCCTCGAAGGCTGCTTAAAATGGTCTCTGCTGGTGAGCTTTTGCCAACCTAGTGCTGGCCTGTGCTGGCTGGAGCTGATGGGAGTTGTAGTTTGGAACGCCTGGAAGGCTTTCCAGGTAGGCAAAGGCTGCATCAAAGTTGGGGAGCAAATCTGTGGGTGCAAATCAGCCTTGAGCCCTTATTCAGACATGGTGGCCAGAATAAGCACACTCGCAGCTTGTTGCAGGGGAAATGCAAATGTCCTCTTCCTGGTTGTTCTGTAACAGTGTGACCCTAAACACCTTGGCAGGTGCTGTAAATGAAATGGCTACCAACCCGGGCTATTACACCGACATGGTGGAGAGGTCCTTCGGCACCTGCACTTTGGCAACGGATGAAATCGAACGTGATCTGCGCCGCTCTTTGCCCGAGCATCCAGCTTTCCAGAGTGACACGGGCATTTCAGCCCTGAGGAGGGTTCTCACGGCATATGCCTACAGGAACCCCAAGATTGGATATTGCCAGGTGAGACTTGCCTGTGGCCCTGGCCATCCTTGTATAGTCTGCAAACTGCTAACTTTTCTTTTTCTTCTTCTTCTTTTTAAATTGTTTTGTTTCTTCATAGTCTATGTACACGTGGGACCTGGAGAAAAAAGGCTGGCAGCAGAGGTTTTGTTTTGTTTAACAAAAAAAGTATATACTATTTGATTGTGCGGTTTTTTAAAAACGTTCTAAGGGGGTTGCAAAAAGATAAAACAGAGCATTAAAATTCCTGGGTGTTCAGGGGAGAAACAGTAGAAAGGTGTATTTGAAGCATTCTAAAGATTATTAAAATCAGCTTAAAAAATAAAACACATGTAACTTCTATATGTCTGGGTAGACTTGCCTAAACAAAAATGTTTCAAGTAGGTGCAGAAAAGACTACAGAGAATGCGCCTGCCTGGTATCAATCGGCAGGGAGTTCCAGAGTGTGGGCACCACCGCACAAAGGAAAGGTCAATCTCTTGCAAGTGCAGGAGGAGTATTTTGTGGCACTTGTAATGGTACCAGTTCCACACTGGTTGCACCTGTCCAGGGATGCTATGCCCCTTTCCATTTCATCCTCCTTCCCCCTCGTTTTCTGTTCTCCTCTCTTAACCAGTTACTTAGCATTCTGTGCCAAAAAAGCATGCTCAGTCCCCACCAAGCTGTTTGGGGTACAAAGCACTTTTTTATTTTTATTTTTTGCAAACCTTAGAGTTCCCTTAATCCTGTTAGGGATTGTGCTTAGGTTCTTGCTGCTTTTGGCCACATAAGGAGAATGATTTTTGACACACCCACCTGTCAATCACCTGACATCGCAGTGATGTCGGAATGTAGACACCTGTCAAAGTTGGCCAGTAGTGGGTTGTTGGGAGATAACCTGCTCAGCCCTGCGCACAGTGGGAGGCAGTTGGCGCTGTGGTCTAAACCACTGAGCCTCTTGGGCTTGCAGATCGTAAGGTCAGCAGTTTGAATCCCTGCGATGGGGTGAGTTCCTGTTGCTCTGTTCCAGCTCCTGCCAACCTAGCAGTTCAAAAGCATACCAACACAAGTAGATAAATAGGGACCGCTGTGGTGGGAAGGTAAACGGCGTTTCCATGCACTCTGGCACTCGTCACAGTGTCCCGTTGTGCCAGAAGCGGTTTAGTCCTGCTGGCCACATGACCTGGAAAGCTGTCTGTGGACAAACGCTGGCTCCCTCGGCCTGAAAGCAAGATGAGCGCCACAACCCCAGAGTCGCCTTTGACTGGACTTAACCGTCCAGGGGTCCCTTTACCTTTACCTACCTTTACAGTGCTTCCCAAACGCTCAAGAATCAGGTGGTTGTTGTGCATTCTGGAAGTGCCACACTCAGGGCTAAGCAGGCTTTGCAAGGAGCAGAACGAGTCCTCGATGTCCTTTTTACGAAATGACGTACATCTCTCTCCCTCCTAACACTGCTTACTGTGCTCGATAGGCAATGAACATTCTGACATCAGTGCTGCTCCTTTACGCCAAGGAGGAAGAAGCTTTCTGGCTCCTGGTTGCTGTGTGCGAAAGGATGCTGCCCGATTATTTCAACCGCCGAATCATTGGTACTGCTTCACTTTAATGATCGCTTTCGCACATGAAAGGAATAGGCAGGAGAACCTGCTGTGCAGTAAGAGTAGATGCCAGCATTTGATTCCCAGCGCATAAGTCCCAATGGCAATAGAGCCTTCCTCTTGGAACGGGCGGTGCTTCAGGCAGTTCATATGGAACAGGTTGCAGAGATAGCAGGGGTGCCTGCTTAGGGAAGGGGACCCATGGAGCACTCTGTGTCCAAGGGGCCTCTCAACATCTGGAGCCAGAACTTCATGTTTGGGTTATAGGAATCTGCCCTATATTGAGCTAAGGCCACTGGCCCCATCCAGATAAGTGCTGCTTCCATAGAGTAGCAGTGACTCTCTGGGCATTCGGACAGTCCCAGTCCTTCCCACCCTCCCTTTCTTCCTTTCTCCCTCCCTTCTTTCCCTCCATTTATAGTGATGCCTTAATTCAAGGGCACCCCAGGCAGTTCACAAATAAATAAAATGTACGGTTGGTCCTGTGTTTTGCTGGGAAAGAGGACATTCAAACCGGAGCTGGTTCTGTTGTTGAGTTTACCTGCCTGCCTCCCATGCTTCTTCCTTCTTACAGGGAAGATTGTGCACATTGGCCGTGTGCGTGAGGGGAAAAGATCAGCTGAAGCAGGCCCTGATGTTGATTCTGCTTTCCTCTCTTGCAGGGCTATCATTTTATTGTAGGGCATTTCCAAAAAGTTTTTAAGTTGATCTTTTCATCAGCTTAAATACACTTTCCCAAACATAATCCAATCATTCCCCTTCTCTTAGAATCATAGAATTGGAAGGGACCCCGAGAGTCATCTAGTCCAACCCCCTGCAAGGCAGGAATCTCAGCTAAAGCATCCATGACAGATGGCCACCCAACCTCTGCTTAAAAACCTCCAAGGAAGGAGAGTCCACCACCTCCTGAGGAACTTGCTCTCAAGCAGCTTTTACTGTCAGAAAATTCTTCCTGATGTTTAGTCAGAATCACCTTCCTTCTAATTTGAATCCATTGCAGGGGAGGAATTTCATAATATGGTTCCCTGTGCAAGGCCAAAATTTGATGCCCCACCAACCCAGCCCTCACACCACTTTCCCAAAGCCAGCTAAGTGAGGCACCAGGCTTTGGGAAGAAGGTGTGAGGCTCTGGCGGGGTCCTACCTCCTTCCTAAAGCTGGACAAGTGCTAACTAGGCTTTGGCAAAAAGGCAGGAAAACTCTAGGACCTCTTTTCTGAACTAAGTGCTTACTAGGCTTTGGGAAGGAGGCAGGAAGGCCCCCTCTGGTCTCAGTGCCCTGTGCAGGTGTCTTGCCCAATGCAAGGTGGTTCTTTTAAAATGAGATTCAGAAGCCATACAAACCACAAGTGAGTGAGAAGATTAAAGATTTTATTCTAAACAGCAAGCAATATATACGTACCAAGCAAGCACTTCAATCTGCCACTTGGAAGCCCTCAAGAAGTGACGAAGTGACTCCCCAAGGTAGCCTCAGTTTGCACGGCCCCATGGCCATCAGTCCGTGCACGAGCTTCTCCAAAACTCTGCCCACAACCATCCAATTTATAGCTAGCTAGCTAAACCACAGAACCTAGGGTTTGCTGATCAGAAGGTTGGCGTTTTGAATCCCCGCGACGGGGTGAGCTCCCGTTGCTCAGTCCCTGCTCCTGCCAACCTAGCAGTTCAAAAGCACGTCAAAGTGCAAGTAGATAAATAGGTACCGCTCCGGCGGGAAGGTAAACGGCGTTTCCGTGCGCTGCTCTGGTTCGCCAGAAGCAGCTTAGTCATGCTGGCCACATGACCTGGAAGCTGTATGCCGGTTCCCTCGGCCAATAAAGCGAGATGAGCGCCACAACCCCAGAGTCGTCCACGACAGGACCTAATGGTCAGGGGCCCCTTTACCTTTTTATCATATCTTGCAGGTGCCTTGGTAGACCAAGCGGTGTTTGAGGAGCTGATCAGGAACTATCTGCCGCAGCTGACGGAGCACATGACAGACATGACGTTCTTCTCCTCCGTCTCCCTGTCCTGGTTCCTCACTCTGTTCATCAGTGTGCTGCCCATCGAGAGCGCGGTCAATGTGGTTGACTGCTTCTTCTACGACGGGATCAAGGCCGTTCTGCAGCTGGGCCTGGCTGTGCTAGATTACAACATGGACAGGCTGCTGACTTGTAAGGATGATGCAGAAGCTGTGACTGTCCTCAACAGGTAACAGAGCCTTTAAAAAAAAACAACCCTAAGATGCTTCACCTGACAGTGCAATTCTGTTCATATTGACTCAGAAATAAGTGCTGTTTGGTTCAACTTGTTGCTATTACTACCAATAGTAATTTATTTATATGCTGCCCATCTGACTGGGTTACCCAAGCCACTCTGAGCAGCTTCCAACAAATTAAACACAATACATCAAACATTAAAAACTTCCCAATACAGTGGTACATTGGTTCTCGAACTTAATCCATTCCAGGAGTCCTTTCAAATCCCGAAACTATTTGAAAACCAAGGCACGGCTTCCAATTGGCTGCATCAGCTTCCTGCACTAAAGTGGAAGCCGCAGAAGCCTCAACAGATGTTCAGCATCCAAAAACGTTTGCAAACTGGAACACTTACTTTCAGGTTTGCGGCATTCGGGAGCCGATTTGTTCGGCAACTAAGCCATTCGGGAACCAAGGTACCACTGTTTGGGGCTGCCTTCAGATGTCTTCTAAAAGTCTGGTAGTTGTTCATCTCTTTGACATCTGATGGGAGGGCGTTCCACAGGGCGGGCACCACTACCGAGAAGGCCCTCTGCCTGGTTCCCTGTAACTTGGCTTCTCACAGCGAGGGAACCACCAAAAGGCCCTCGGAGCTGGACCTCAGTGTCTGGGCTGAATTTATTTACGATTACATTCATAGTCCACCTTCTTCCAAAGAGTTCAGGGTAGCATTTTATCCTTGTGAGGTTAAGTTAGGCTGAGAGATGGTGACTGGTCCAAGGTCATCCAGTGAGCTTTGTGGCTGAGTGAGGATTCAAACCCTTGACTTCCAGGTCCTAGTCCAACATTCTTACCCCAAAACAACAACAATTGCTATTATTATTATTATTATTATTATTATTATTATTATTGAAATTTTTATTATTAATGCTCACTGCCACCTTAGAAACGACACCACAGTGGAATCCAGTGATATAGGATTGTAACTTGAATACAACTGGAGTAATGTGAATATTTTTCTCCTTTACAGATTAGGCCTCTGTCTACGATCCCCACCCACACTCCACCAGAATTTATAATAACCTTTTGCTTTCTATTTTAATTGATGAGCAGCACAATGCAGCTTCCAGTCAAAAGCAGCAAAACACAATAAAAACAGGGTGAAATACATTGTGGGGAAAATGTAGCTCCAGCAGCAGCAAGGCAGTGGAGTTTTGGGGAAATGCTGTGGGCGCCAGTCACAAAATGGCTGACACAAGACACATTATGTGTTGTGTTTGGGGTATTTGTGTGTGTGGTGTAACACAAAATGGCTGCCATATCTAAAAAGAACAGAAAGAGAGATTGGACTACTAAATGTGCTTTATGGTGGGGCTTGGGGGGAAGGGCACCTACAGTCACAATTATCATTGTTAAAATTTGTGTACCACCCTTCATCCAAAGATCACAGGGTGGTTCACAACATAAAAATGCAGAATAAAGAGACAAAAATCACTCGCTTACGGGCAAAAACTCTTTACTCCTCTGTTCTGAACAAAAGCATGGGCGAGTTTTCCCTCCTGGCGTCCAGTGAAAAGTGGCCAAACAGGAACTGTGGGAAGGAAGAACAAACCGTCTTTCAGGCACTATCCATTTTTGAGGAGGTGCTTACTGAGGAATTTCATGGGCGCTATAGGCAGTATTGGCGTGCCCACCCTCAGGCGCTGTGCTGATGACCCCTCCTCAACAAAAAATATAAAATAGCCACAGCTGCACTACTCAACACTAATAAATAAAATAGCAGGTTGGCACATTTATAGTATTATTATTATTTTTCATGCACAACAAGGTTTTTCTTTGCGGTCTTTTTTTTTTAAAAAAAATACTCATTTCTACTCACTTTTAATTCACTATGTTTTGTACATCCCCCCTTTTTTATTTCAATTGAAGGTTTTTTGACAGTGTTACCAACAAGGACAGTCCTCTGCCTCCAGCAGTGCAGCAGGCCTCGGGTACAAATGAAGCCAAGAGCCATCACCCCAAAGTGGACGTCACAGACTTGATTCTAGAGTCAAACGAGGTTCGTAAAGCCAATTGGCTTCAGAGGGGTGGGTGCTGTTTTTTTCTCTTTCCTGCATTGCAACTGCCTGTTCAACAAGCCACCTCTTGTGGGTAAAATTGTTTTCTCCTTCAAGACATCTAATAATAGAATGAAAGGGGCCTTAGAGATCTGCATTGGCTCCCAGTAAGTTTCCGAGCACAATTCAAAGTGTTGGTGTTGACCTTTAAAGCCCTAAACGGCCTCGGCCCAGTATACCTGAAGGAGCGTCTCCACCCCCATCGTTCTGCCCGGACACTGAGATCCAGCGCCGAGGTCCTTCTGGAGGTTGCCTCATGGCGAGAAGTGAGGTTACAGGGAACCAGACAGAGGACCTTCTCGGTAGTGGCGCCCACCCTGTGGAACGCCCTCCCTTCAGATGTGAAGGAAATAAGCAGCTATCCTATCTTTAAAAGACATCTGAAGGCAGCCCTGTTTAGGGAAGTTTTTAATATTTAATGCTGTACTGTTTTTAACACTTGATTGGGAGCCGCCCAGAGTGGCTGGGGAGACTCAGCCAGATGGGCGGGGTATAAATAAAGTAGTAGTAGTAGTAGTAGTAACCTAGCTCCACTGCTCAGTGCAGGCTCTAGGATGCATTCCTAATGGGATAGCCTTCCAGATTCTGCTTAAATACCTCCAGAGAAAGACTCTTCTACCTCCTGGGGCAGAACCTCAGGACTATTTTATTTTACTGCATTTATATCCCAACTTTCCCCCAAGAAACTCAGGGTGGAACACATGCTCCTGCCCCTTATTTAATCCCCACAAGAAACCTGTGATGGAGCAATGTATGGAACATTTGCTTTATCTGAACATCTGTTCAGATCAGCCTTTCTCAATCTGTGGGTCCCCAGATGTTGTTGGACTACAACTCCCATCACCCCTAGCTAGCAAGGCCAGAGCTCAGGGATAATGGAAGTTGTAGTCCAACAACATCTGGGGACCCACAGGTTGAGAACCGCTGGTTCAGATGGGTAGTCTGGGGTGAAGCCAAAAGGGTCTCCATTTTTGGATTATATAAATAGGGAGAGTCAAATAAGTACTCATCCCATGACTCCTCGTTGTGGTTGGGCTATATAGACACATCTTTAAAACTTGGCAATGTATTTAACTGCATTTCAATAATTTGCTTTTTATGCTGAATATGCTATGTATATGGCTCTGTTGTTGTTTGTATGGCTATCTGTCAGTTTGTACATATGTTTTATGATAAATCAATTAAAAAACAACCCTGTGAGGTAGGGTAGGCTGAGAGGCGGTGACTGATCCAATGAGCTTCATAGTTGAGTAGGGATTTGAACCCTGGTCTCTCAAGTCCTAGGGACACGGGTGGCACTGTGGGTTAAACCACAGAGCCTAAAACTTGCCAATCGGAAGGTTGGCGGTTCGAATCCCCACAACGGGGTGAGCTCCCATTGCTCGGTCTGCCTGGTTTACTTTTGGGGCTAGAGTGTCTAACTAGGACTTGAGAGGTAAAGGGACCCCTGGCCGACTCTGGGGTTGCGGCGCTCATCTTGCTTTATTGGCCGAGGGAGCCGGCGTACAGCATCCGTGTCATGTGGCCAGCATGACTAAGCCACTTCTGGGGATCCAGAGCAGCGCACAGAAACGCCGTTTACCTTCCCGCTAGTAAGCGGTCCCTATTTATCTACTTGCACTTTGACGTGCTTTCGAACTGCTAGGTTGGCAGGAGCAGGGACCGAGCAACGGGAGCGCACCCCGCCGCGGGGATTCGAACCGCCGACCTTTCGATCGGCAAGCCCTAGGCGCTGAGGCTTTTACCCACAGCGCCACCCGCGTTCTCACTTTCTGACATTAGGCAGTGTACAAAGCTGGGAGACATTTAACCAAACATACAGAGGAAAAGCTCCTGCAGAACTGCACAGCCATTCAGGGCACCTACCTCAAGTAAACATCAAGGCACTTTGTCTGGTTGCTAAGCAACACCCACGCGCTCCCCCTGGTTAGCCTTCTTACAGATAACAGAATTAACCCTTTAGTTCCAAACAGAATGATCCCTGCTATTGCACTTCGAATGCTTCCCTTGTAGGAGAGGCTTACCAGTAGGAGAGGCTTACTATTGCGGGTCTTGCATCCTGCTGTTCAGGTAGCCAGAATCTTACAGCATCCCAATCCAGTTAGCTCTGCCCCTGGAAGCAGCCTGATGGATTCCTGCTCTTCTCCTAGAAATATGGTGACATCCGGTTTGAGGAAGTAGAAAGCATGCGGCGCCGTAACAGGCTGTATGTCATTCAGACCCTGGAGGTCACTACGAAGCAAAATGTGGTGAGTGAACTGCATGCTCAGATACCTTGAGCTGTGTGGAACAAGAACATTAGCCATCCTGTTCATTGTATGGTAACTTCACAATGTGTTTGTCGTAGTTGTCGTCATTTTATTTGCTGGCTGTGTATTATTGCTATAATAATTTGCTTTTTTATTTTAAGAGTGCAAGTGGATAGATCTCTGCCTCAAGGGGCTTACAGTCAGAAATCCAAGAAGGGAAGCAGAGGCCAACTATGTGGTTATTTCAGCTGCACATGCTTAGACTTAAATCTCATCCGCACTATACATTTAAAGCAGTATCGTACCAGTTTAAACAGTCATGGCCTCCTCCAAAGAAGGCTGGGAACTGTAGCTTGTTAAGGTGCAGAGAATTGTTAGGACACCTCCCTGTTCCCTCACAGAGCCACGGTTCCCTGGGAAGAGGGGTTGACTGTGAAAGCACTCTGGGAATTGCAGCTCTGTGAGAGGAACAGGGGTCTCCTAACAACTCTCAGCACCTTTAACATCCTAGGATTCTTTGGGGGAGCCTATTCTTTGGGGGTGGCTATTTAAAGTGGCTCGACACTGCTTTAAATGACTCAGGACTGCAATACCTCAAGGACCGCCTCTCTCCATATGAACCGAACCAGACCCTGAGACTCGGAGATGATCATCTGAGGCCCTTCTTTGTGTGCCTCTTCCACATGAGGTCCACAAGGTGGCAACACAAGAACGGGGCCTTCTCTGCAGTGGCTCCCCGTCTGTGGAATGCTCTCCCCGGGGAGATTCACCTGGTGCCTTCATTATACACCTTTAGGCACCTGGCAAAAACCTTCCTCTTCTCCCAGGCCTTTGGCTGATTCAGCTATTGTGGTGGAAGGTTATTGGTTTGTTTCTGTTCTTAAGGGAGTAGGGAACCTTTTTCATGTTGAGAGGCACATTCCCAAGGGCTACAGGCCACAAAGGAGAATTTTCCTTTTCTTCAGAGAGTGTGAAGCAGGGTCTGTGAGGGACATTGCCTGAAGACAGGTGTAGTGATATACAGGGCCAGACAGAGAGGCATGGGAACTTGGGGTTCCTAATGAACACAGATGCACCTTGTCTTCACCCTAAAATGGCTTTGCTCAGAAATTTGAGGCAGTTGCGTTCAGCGCTTGAAGGGGACATGGAAGAGTTAAGTTAAAAGTGTTTCGAGCCAAGTGCACAAGAGGTTCTCAGCTTTTTGCTTCTGTGCCTGATGAAATCAGCCTCTTCTTTTACGAGCTGAAAATCAGCTAATGTCAAAGCACAAAGAACTGAGGGGGAAATGAGATTTACATCCTCCTAACTTGGTTGCTCTCATTCTGTCCTCTGTAGCTTCGTGTTATCTCCCAGGATGTGAAAATAAGTCCTAGCAACCTGGAAGAGCTGTATGAATTATTCAAGGTGAGAAGCTGTTTTCGCCTAATGCGCTTGTTTCCCAAAATTTCTTTGTTTCCCCCTTGAGTATCCTACTGTGACACACCTCCGACAGAACAGAGGAGAATTGATTAACTCCTAGAAACTGGCTAGCTCTTCTTGATCTTCTTTTTAAAATAATAATAATAAATATCATTTATTTATTTGTACAGTATTGCCCCCAAAGCAGTTATTAGTTTACAGTGCTAAGTAACCAATCTGCCAGTGAAAGGATTTGTGCTTGTACAGAAGGACTCCCCCCCCCCCGCAAAAACACTCTTCTCGTCCCTCATGCACTCCATGTTCTCCCCAAATCTCTGGGCAGTTTGGGAAACCCTAGAACAAGTTTGGGGTGTGTGCAGAAGGGAGGAGAGGCAACAGAAGTCCAGTTGTGCAAGTGTAAATCCTTGTATCGACCGGCTGGTGACGTAGTGCTACGTTGGATACAAACCGCAAACCATAGTTTCCCAAAGGGGCTGATAATCAATACAGTGGTACCTTGGTAGTTGAACGGATTGGCTCCCAAACAAATTGGCCCCCAAACGCCGCAAACCTGGAAGTGAGTGCTCCGGTTTGCGAACATTTTTTGGAAGCCGAACGTCCAACACGGCTTCCGCAGCTTCTGATTGAGTGCAGGAAGCTCCTGCAGCCAATCAGAAGCTGCGCCTTGGTTTTTGAACCATCGAACAGACTCCCGGAACGGATTAAATTTGAGAACCAAGGTACCACTGTGTAAAGACACTGAGAGCGGATGATACAGGCCCTGCCAAGGGCTTGGAAACTGAAAAGACAAGGGACACAAGAAGAAGTAGAGAAGTGGAATTAGTGCTTCAAGGCTGGAACAAAGTGAGGAGCTGTGAATGCACATTTATTTCCAGTTTGCTTGAATAGCAACCAGCAGCTTTTTGTTCTTTCTCCCCTTTTGCTTCTGCAGTCCCTGAGCAATAGGCAGTGCTACTTATTTTAAAGCATTTATCAAGTCACTTCATATTTTTATAATTTCTAGGCGATGTACTCTCTCTCCTCCCCCACACACAGTTTAGGCACTAGGCATTCAGCTGGTAGCATGCCACCTGAAATCACAGGTCAGGGTTTGTGGGGAGTGCATCTTTAAAATGATATTTTTTTTGTGTGTGTATATACGTGCAATATCATTTTAAAGATGCACTCCCCACAAACTACGACCTGTGATTTCAGGCAGAACGCTACTAGTGGAATGCACAGCTAGTGTTTCTACTGACCATCAGACATTTTCAGTGTTATCTCTGATCCTTTACTATGTTGAGCATGGTTCACAAATGTCTGGAACATCGGTTTGCCAGGGTGCTTGACCACTGAACACAGATGGATGCTGGAGAGAGACTCAATCTGACAATTTCAGGGCATATTTGTTTTCCTCCTTTGACTATATTAACAGGGCAGGATACCCCCATATCCCCCAAGCTTCTCATTCTTCATTATGGTTAATAAATACCACCAGATATTCAGTGAAGTCAGATTGTAATTTTGTATGCTGGTTTTCAGTTGTAAAAATAAATTTAAAAAGTCATTCCTGTGTTCCTTTTCTTTCTTTCTCTCTGCTTTATTTTTTAAAAAATATATATTTAATTTTCAAATTTACAAGCAATCATCAAGCAACCAAAACAAATAAAAATGAATTCCATAAATTCCCATGAACTTCCTTCCTCCCCTTTGTGGGTCCTTATGTTAACTTTTTTCCCCTCCTGCATCTTCTCTGTTGATCCAGTTCTATTAAATCTCCATTGCAACCATAGTCCAACGTTCAAGTCCTACTAATAATTTTAATTGCTTACAACGATTTTCAATATAAATTACATATTTTCCCCATTCCTTATTAAAATTTTGGTCTTCCTGATTCCTAATTCTTCCGCTCGTTTTTTGCCATTTCTTCATAGTCATCATCATCATCATCATCATCATCATCACCATAATTATTTATTTATACCCCACCCATCTGGCTGGGTTTCCCCAGCCACTCTGGGGGGCTTCCAACAGAATATTAAATACAATAGTCTATTAAACATTAAAAGCTTCCCTAAAGAGGGCTGCCTCCAGATAAAAATCTGGTAGTTGTTTTTCTCTTTGACATCTGGTGTGAAGGTGCCACTACCGGGTGGGTGCCACTACCGAGAATCAGTATAATCTGCCATTCTTGTGGAGCGGGGGGATGGGAATGGCTACATGTTTTTGTATGCAGCCAAAGACATCAACAAAAAGTTGTAGGTATGGGAAATGTTACCTCTGAGCGACAACACAGAAGCCATGTGTTCTTATCCTTGTTCTTTCTCCCCCGAAGGTATTGCTCTTATTTAACACATGGGCTTTTGTGCATATTTTGCAGAAGGAGCATTTTCTCTCTTGCTACTGGAGCATGGACAGCCCAGCCCTGAAGCACCATGACCCCAGCCTCCCCTACCTGGACCAGTATCGCATCGACTGCCAGCAGTTCCGCGTCCTCTACCATCTCCTGAGCCCTTGGGCGCATTGTGCAAACAGGGACTCCCTCGCTCTGTGGACATTCCGGTTGCTGGATGAGAACCTAGATGGGCTTATAAACTTCAAAGAATTTGCCTCTGCTCTGGGTACACTACTGAATGCATGCCATAGGGTCATGTGCTCCTCAGTCTTGGGCTGGGTTGATTATATTTGACAATAGACTCACTGTCCATTTGGGGTGGCAAGAAGGGCAGTGGAAGCAGCCTCAACAGGTTATGTTTGGTACTATTTTTGCCATTCAATCCACTAAAATGCCAGTGATTTAATTTTATTTGCATTTTAATGAGCTAGGCCTGTATGATTCTGGATTTTTACCTGGTTTTAGTATCACAACAGTTGTAGACTCTTTCCATGACTTAGGCACTATCTTGCCAGCTAATACACTGTTAAACAATCTTTGCATATGGGGCAATAACATCTCAGATCATTTTTTTATAGAAATATCTAGGTATACCATCCATGCCTGGCCCTTTACGTGGCTTAAATTTCTTTATTGCTTTAGTTATATCTTTATAACATCTCAGATCATTTTTTTATAGAAATATCTAGATATACCATCCATACCTGGCCCTTTACGTGGCTTAAATTTCTTTATTGCTTTAGTTATATCTTATTGGTGCTACTAAGGATGGTTTTTGTTCGTCTGTAATTTTCTCTGACCTTTTAGTTTCTAAGTATTTTCAGCTTGAATTCCCCTAGGTTTAAGTTTTGCTTTGTATATATTTTTTTGTAAAATGATTTGAATTTATTTCTATTCTATTTGGAACCAAATATTTGTGACCCACTGTTCGTTTTTTAGAGAACTGGTTCTATATACACTAATAATCTTAGCAGTCTATACTATTTGTCCATAATGCCCATTATTGTCCACTTAAGAACCTGGGAAACTGCCTTATCCTGAGCCAGACTCATAAGCCCATGTACCTAGTACTGTCCGCACTGACTGGCAGCAGCTCTTCGGGGTCTTGGACAGTGGCCAGTTCCCAGGGCTCCCTGGAGATGCGGGGATTGAACCTTCTACATGCAAAGCAGATGCTTACCATCCGTTTCATTACACCCAGGCAGAAAGAGTTGGGGATGATGCTCCCCTGTACACCTGAGACTTCTGAATATGAATAATCTTTCTCTCTCTCTCCCCCCCCCCATCCTTCTCTGTTTGTTAGATGTCATGTACCATGGGAGCTTTACCCAAAAGCTGAAGCTGCTTTTCAAATTGCACATACCTCCGGGTGAGTCACTTTCGGGAGATCATGTATTACAGTGGTACCTCGCAAGACGAATGCCTCGCAAGACGGAAAACTCGCAAGACGAAAGGGTTTTTTGTTTTTTGAGCTGCTTCGCAAGACGATTTTCCCTATGGGCTTGCTTTGCAAGACGGAAACGTCTTGCAAGTTTGTTTCCTTTTTCTTAACACCGTTAATACAGTTGCGACTTGACTTCGAGGAGCAACTCATAGCACGCGGTGTGGTAGCCTTTTTTGAGGTTTTTAAAGACTTTGGTGATTTTTGAAGCTTTTCCAAAACTTTTCCGACACCGTGCTTCGCAAGATGAAAAAATCGCAAGACGACAAAACTCACGGAACGAATTAATTTCGTCTTGTGAGGCACCACTGTAGTTGTTCCATTGCCTGCCTGGGATTGTGAAAGATCTCGCTTGCATTTTCTGTGTTTATTAAATGCAATTTTATTAGCTTCATTGCTTTCCTCCAAGGAGCTCAAAGTGGCATACGTGGTTCCCCTTCTCTCTCATTTTATCCGCTCAGCAACCTTGCAAGGTAGGCTGAGAGACAGGGACAGGCCCAAGATCAGCTTGTGAACTTCATGGGCTGAATCTGGATTTGAAACTTGGTCCTGTCCCCTCCCCCAGCCCCAGGTCCTAGCCTATCACAGCTGGCTATCATGCTGTTTTAATATTTCAGTTATTTTATTGTTTTATGTTTATACATAAACCCAATGGTTGCCATCAATTTGATTTGAATTAATTTTAGAATGAAATGATTTTAGAATGTTGCATTATTTTATTGTTGTTAGCCGCCCTGAGCCTCTGAGCCTGGCATCGGCTGGGGAGGGCGGGATATAAATAAATAAATAATATAATAATAATAATTATTATTATTATTATTATTATTATTACTACTACTACTACTACTACTATTATATCTTATTAGCTGCTTTGACTATTTTGTGTAGAAAAGTAGGTTGCTTTCATTAAGAAATTACCTCTCAGGGCTGTTGTGAAAATGAGAGTGGTGGTGGTGGTGGGGGGATATATCCCCGGGCTCTTTCGAGGAAGAACAGGATAACAATTTTGCTGCTTACTATATGGCGGGGTGGCCTGAGACAGGAATGATCTTTTTCAGGCACAGTTCTCCATCTGTATAATGGAATAATGGGCTGCAAGGATAAACTAAACAAAAGTTTTGTGTGTGGAACACCCTTTGCAAATGCAAAGTTCTAGCGACAGTGGTTCTCTGCTATCCTCAAAATTCTGTTTCCTTTTTTGCAGCTTTCACTGAAGTGGAATCCCTAAGCCCTTCCAAAGGGACTCAGCTATCTAAAGAAGAGTTGATCCACTTTAGCCAATTAAATGGTAAGCCTCAAGCATGCTCTGTTTATAGAACCAGGCGGAGATTAATCCCCCCCACCCATTCCGCTGGGAAGAGGACGGGCAGTAGAACTCCAACTTGAAGTGCCAATAAATGAATTTTAGGTTCCAACTTCTGAGAGACAAAAAAAGCAGGATTTTCAGGTCTGTAGTTTCATACAGAAGCTGCCCTCCACACTGCACCCCGCCATTTAAAGATACCGAAACCAGAATTGACTGAAGTGAGACTGTTAGAGCTGCACCAGACTGCCTGATGAGCATTTGTCATGATCTACTTGTGCGGGAAGCGGGTGGCGCTATGGTTTAAACCACTGAGCCTCTTGGGCTTGCCAATCAGAAGGTCGGCGGTTCAAATCCCTTCAACGGGGTAAGCTCCCGTTGTTCGGTCCCTGCTCCTGCCCACCTAGCAGTTCAAAAGCATGCAGTGCAAGTAGATAAATAGGTACTGCTCCAGTGGGAAGGTAAATGCATTTCCTTAGAATCATAGAATCATAGAGTTGGAAGAGACCACAAGGGCCATCGAGTCCAACCCCCTGCCAAGCAGGAAACACCATCAGAGCACTCCTGACATATGGTTGTCAAGCCTCTGCTTAAAGACCTCCAAAGAAGGAGACTCCACCACACTCCTTGGCAGCAAATTCCACTGTCGAACAGCTCTTACTGTCAGGAAGTTCTTCCTAATGTTTAGGTGGAATCTTCTTTCTTGTAGTTTGGATCCATTGCTCCGTGTCCGCTTCTCTGGAGCAGCAGAAAACAGCCTTTCTCCCTCCTCTATGTGACATCCTTTTATATATTTGAACATGGCTATCATATCACCCCTTAACCTCCTCTTCTCCAGGCTAAACATGCCCAGCTCCCTTAGCCGTTCCTCATAAGGCATCATTTCCAGGCCTTTGACCATTTTGGTTGCCCTCCTCTGGACACGTTCCAGTTTGTCAGTGTCCTTCTTGAACTGTGGTGCCCAGAACTGGACACAGTACTCCAGGTGAGGTCTGACCAGAGCAGAATACAGTGGCACTATTACTTCCCTTGATCTAGATGCTATACTCCTATTGATGAGGCCCAGAATTGCATTGGCTTTTTTAGCTGCCGCGTCACACTGTTGGCTCATGTCAAGTTTGTGGTCAACCAAGACTCCTAGATCCTTTTCACATGTACTGCTCTCAAGCCAGGTGTCACCCATCTTGTATTTGTGCCTCTCATTTTTTTTGCCCAAGTGCAATACTTTACATTTCTCCCTGTTAAAATTCATCTTGTTTGTTTTGGCCCAGTTCTCTAATCTGTCAAGGTCGTTTTGAAGTGTGATCCTGTCCTCTGGGGTGTTAGCCACCCCTCCCAGTTTGGTGTCATCTGCAAATTTGATCAGGATGCCCTTGAGTCCATCATCCAAGTCGTTGATAAAGATGTTGAATAAGACCGGGCCCAAGACAGAACCCTGTGGCACCCCACTAGTCACTCTTCTCCAGGATGAAGAGGAACCATTGATGAGCACCCTTTGGGTTCGGTCAGTCAGCCAGTTACAAATCCACTGAGTGGTAGCATAGTCAAGACCGCATTTTACCAGCTTCTTTACAAGAATATCATGGGGCACCTTGTCAAATGCCTTGCTGAAATCAAGGTAGACTACATCCACTGCGTTCCCTTCATCTACCAGGCTTGTAATTCTGTCAAAAAACGAGATCAGGTTAGTCTGACATGACTTATTTTTCAGAAATCCATGCTGACTATTGGTGATCACAGCATTCCTTTCTAGGTGCTCACAGACTGTTTGCTTAATGATCTGCTCCAGAATCTTCCCTGGTATTGATGTCAGACTGACTGGGCGATAATTATTTGGGTCCTCTCTTTTCCCCTTTTTGAAAATAGGGACAACATTTGCCCTCCTCCAGTCTGCCGGGACTTCGCCTGTTCTCCAGGAATTCTCAAAGATGACTGCCAGTGGTTCTGAAATCACATCTGCCAGTTCTTTTAATACTCTTGGATGCAGTTCATCTGGCCCTGGAGACTTGAATACATCTAGACTAGCCAAGTATTCTTGTACTATCTCCTTAGTTATTCTGGGCTGTGTTTCCTCTGCTGAATCATTTGCTCCAAATTCTTCAGGTCGGGCATTGTTTTCTTTATCGGAGAAGACTGAGGCAAAGAAGGCATTGAGGAGTTCAGCCCTTTCTGTGTCCCCTGTTTGCATTTCACCATCTTCTCCTCTGAGTGACCCCACGGTTGCGCTGCTCTGGTTTGCCAGAAGCGGCTTAGTCATGTTGGCCACATGACCAGCTGTCTGCAGACAAATGCTGGCTCCCTCAGTCAGTAAAGCCAGATGAGCGCCGCAACCCCAGAGTCGTCCGTGACTGGACTTAATGATCAGGGGTCCCTTTACATTTACCTTACTTGTGCAAAGCTCACATAGTGTTTAGACTTTGGGACCCCCCAGGTGTCCTTATTTAAAATCATGCATTCATTATGATTTGTGTTCATGACAGTATCAGGGTGGGTTTATATGATCCTGCTTCAATACCGTTTATTCTCTTTTATCAGGACTTGTTATATCCTGCTCTCTCTCTCTCTCTCTCCTCGCTCCCTCTGTTCTTTTAAGCAGAATTGGGAGAAAGGGGTAATTTAAAGTGGCAAGGGTGGTCCATTTTTGAAAAAGTGGCTCAGAACCACTAATAAACTTTACGTTTTTTAAAAAATGCAGCAAATCTTATTTGCCAATAGCTAAACTATTTGCAACCTTTTCCCTGTCCATTGAGGGAGGAAATGAGAATTTTTAAAGTGTGCATCTCATATCTTTCTAAGCAATAGACAGCTGAGGATATGAAAAAGACACCAGAAAAATAAAGTGGACTGCAACTGAGACCCCTTTTCTTTAGCTGCCTTTCAGAACTTAAAGGCATTTGAAGCATCACAGCTGGGGGGGGGGGAGACCCTATAGTTTTCCTGTGCTTCTCTTTTCTATAAAAAATTCAGGTTGCTAAAAATTCAGACATTACAGCGAAAGTTCATTGGGCAGACCGTATGCTCTCCATGCAGTGGGTCCCTGGTTCAAAAGCTGGCATCTCTTGTTTAAAAAGATTTAAGGAGCACCTGCTATGAAATATCTCTGGCTGAGGCTTTGAAGAACCCTGTCAGCACAGGCAGTGCTGAGCTAGGTGGATGAATATAACTTATTCACACATAACACTAAACCATGGCTTGAGAAGGAGCTTGGAAGCTTCCACTTCAATTTAAGTTAAGTGTAACATCTGAACTCCAAACTGTAGTTTATCTTAAGCCAGTGGTTTTCAACCAGTGTGCTTTAGCACCCTGGGGTGCCTTGAGGGATGGTCAGGGGTGCCGTGGGCAACACTGGCCTCTGTTCCTCTTTCCTTCCCTCCCTTCCTCCGATGGCCTCTTGCATCTCTGCCTCCGAAAGGCTTGCACAACCGTTTGTTGCAGCAGCTCTGGCTACAAGCTCCCCAGGTGAATGATGCCTCTGGGGCTGGCCAGGGGGTGCTTCCTAGGCCCCTGTGGGGCAGTGTGAGGAGGCACCTCTGTTTGGGGCAGAGGGGGCAACTCAGAGACCAGGGGTGGCAGCAGCAGCTGCCCAGAGGACTCCCAAGGAGAGGGGAGAGGAGAGGAGGCTGAGGGAACCCTCCCCAAGGGAGGGTGTTTGAAAAAGGGCGAGAGGCTGCCAGCTCTGCAGGCAAGGGGTGACATAACTGGGCTCCTGAGCCCCACAGGGGTGCTACAGAAAGAATGTAGTTGGTCAAGGGGTCTGTGGACCCAAAAATGTTGAAAACCTCTGTCTTAACCAAGTGGTCTGATGAAACAAGCCAGCTTCTTAAACTATGGTTTGATATTGGCCTGTTTCAGCAAACCATTGTCAAAATTAAGAACAGATTTATTATCAGGTTAGGAAAAAATTGAATAACAATAAATAAAATATGTATGAAAAAATACTGTAATTAAAAGATGGAAGCAAAAGTGGCCAGGTTGCAGGGAGGGGTGGGAAAGTTATGAGCCCAGTGTTCATTGCAACTCTTTCTTGTATGATTTAGCATTCTGTCCAAACCAACCCATAAACTCTCTGGTTTGAGGCAGCTTCCTATGTCCAATTTTATCCTCCTCTTCTATCCTAGTTTCTTCTCCTGAGGACCGTGAAGGTGCTGATGCTTTAAACAGGAGCCCAGAAAAAGGTTGGTGAACTTGATTAATATCCAGAGAACTTGCATCAGTCTATACATATCATGCAGGGAAGATGCTGTAATATTTAAGTTAGGATAATATATATATTCAAGTTGGAAGGGGTCCCAAGGATCCTCTAGTCCAACCGCTCTGCAATGCAGGAATCTCACCTAGTGCACACATTAGTAATGGCCATCCAACCTCTGCTTTAAACCTCCAAGGAAGGAGAGTCCACAGCCACCTTCCAAGGGAGTTTGGTCAGCTCTTACTGATGCGGGCGGTGCTGTGGGTTAAACCACAGAGCCTAGCACTTGCTGATCAGAAGGTTGGCAGTTCGAATCCCCGCGACGGGGTGAGCTCCCGTTGCTCGGTCCCAGCTCCTGCCAACCTAGCAGTTCGAAAGCACATCAAAGTGCAAGTAGATAAATAGGTACCGCTCCAGCGGGAAGATAAACGGCGTTTCCGTGCACTGCTCTGATTCGCTAGAAGCGGCTTAGTCATGCTGGCCACATGACCCGGAAGCTGTACACCAGCTCCCTCGGCCAATAAAGCGAGATGAGCGCCGCACCCCCAGAGTTGTCCGCGACTGGACCTAATGGTCAGGGGTCCCTTTACCTTACTGACTGAACGTTCTTCCTCCTGTTGAGTTAGAATCTTCTCTCAACCGTTCCTCATAAGACTTGGTTTCCAGACCCTTGATCTTGGGAGCAGCTAACATGCTGCACTCCAGTTTTGGGAAACTCAGCTTCCATTGCCCTCCAGCCAGCACACTGTCGTGAAATTTGAATGCCCTCCTGAACCGCCAAATTCCTCTTCCAGATGTTGCAGCTGACAATATAGAAAGCATGGGAGAGCAGAGAAATTGGGTTGTTTTATTGATCTACCTAGCCTTCTTCCTCTGTTTGAGTCCTGCCTTAGGTAGCATGTATGATCTTAGATCTTAGGGTAGCATGTATGATGGGGGCAGTCCATATGCAGCCCACCAAAGGTCGAGTTCTCCAGGTGGCAAAGGCAGTGAGGTGGGGAAGTTCTGCTCCTCCCCGGGGGGGGGGGAGACAGAAATCCCACTGCTATGTGGAAGACCAAAGTCTGTACAGTAGCAGCAATCAGGCAGTGGTTCTCAACCTGTGGGTCCCCAGATGTTGTTGGACTACAACTCCCATCATCCCTGAGCTCTGGCCTTGCTAGCTAGGGGTGATGGGAGTTGTAGTTCAGCAACATCTGGGGACCCAGATGCTGAGAATTCTAGGCACTCCATGGAGTGAAGGGTATTTTACCTGCATGCAGAGGGTCCCAGGTTCAATCCCTTTTGTCGCCAGGTGGGGCTGGGAGCATCCCCTGCCTGAATCCTGGAGACCGGCTACCAGTCGGTGTGGACAGTATTGTGCTTGGTGGACCAATAACCTGACTTTGATAAGGCAGTTTCCTATGTTCCATTGAGTTCCATTGTGTTCCATTCCCCTATTCACCTCTTTGCCTGTTGGAAAGCAGCATTTCATGGCCACCGACCATACTCAGTCTTCATTGGGACGCTTTTGTCTCTTCCCCACACCAGTATTTTTAACCTAAACATTTTTATTTTTGCACTTCTGTAAACCTTGGGTCTCCCTCGAAGCTGTCGGATAACCCCTGAGTGGTGCTGCTTTGGCTATGTAAACGATGGCCCCCAGAGAACTAAGTTCATGCCAACATGATGTCCTCCGGATATCTTTGAACTGCACCATCCCTGGTGATGGTTTTGGGAGTCCTCATCCCTGCTGCAAAGCCCCAGTGTGATCCGGCAAGAGCAACTACTCCATGGAGACTGCTGTGGATAGAGTGAGGATTTTGCTATTCATTTGTGTCTTGTTGCCTTCCAATTAGGTAGAGGAAAGGTTGACATCCAGGCCTATTTGAAGCAGTGGCAGGATGAATTGCTAAAAAAAGAAGAAAGCATTAAGGATTTGCCCCGCATGGACCAGGTAAAACTCACCTACGGGAGAACTTGCAAGGGGGCTATTATCTGGGGTTTGGTTGGTTGGTGGGAGCAAACAATGACCCCTGAGCCTGACACATGCTAACAGGGTAACAGGTCATTAAAAGAAAGAAGGAATTATAGAGTAGAAGTGGTTTGGGGGTGGGGGGCATCTAGTCTAATTCCTTTCTTGATGCAGGAAATTCAGAGTTCAGGCATCCCTGGCAGAAGGCTGTGCCCATTCACTGTTCGAAGGTGTCCAGCCATGGAAAGCCCAGTATAGTTGTACTTCTCCCCCCTTGGCTACGCCCATCTGTCTGTGTGCTTGTACATACGTGTGTAGGTGGGGCTTGGGCATGAATCCTTGGAATATGATTGGGCGCAATTCTCTACTCACTTACCTGGAAAGTGGAATTCACTGGGGCATATTTCTGGATAAACATGGATTGTGCTGCTTGGCCATTTCCCTGTTTTCATATATCTGTACAGTGGTACCTCGAGTTAAGTACTTATTTCGTTCCGGAGGTCCGTTCTTAACCTGAAGCACCACTTTAGCTAATGGGGCCTTCCACTGCTGCTGCGCGATTTCTGTTCTCATCCTGAAGCAAAGTTCTTAACCTGAGGTACTATTTCTGGGTTAGCGGAGTCTGTAACCTGAAGCATCTGTAACCTGAAGCATATGTAACCCGAGGTACCACAGTATTTCCTCCTAATAGGGAAAAATACCCTTATTTTTATATCTTGTACTATTGCCCAAACTAGTCCTAGTCAAGGCATTCCAAGACTGTGGTAAATGGACCACCAGTAGTCTGTGACCTTTGTTCATGCAGTCCACAGCATGTCCACCTTAAATATCCATATCAATTTTTAATTGTACTTGTATTGCTTCTTTTAATCCATCCTATTGTATTGTACAGTTGTACATTGGTTCTCGAACGGAATCCGTTCCGGAAGTCCCTTCGACTTCTGAAAATGTTTGAAAACCAAGGCACGGCTTCTGATTGGCTGCAGGAGCTTCTTGCACTCAAGCGGAAGCTGCGTCGGGCGCATAGATGTCAATGTTTCCCTTTTTTAAAAGGGAAATTCCCTTATTCCGAATAGGATTTCCCTTAAAAAAAGGAAAAAGGTGACAGCTATGGTCGGGGGTTCGGCTTCCAAAAAATGTTCACAAACCGGAACACTCACTTCCAGGTTTGTGGCGTTTGGGAGCCAAAATGCTCAAGTCACAAGGCATTTGACAACCAAGGCATGACTGTCTCTTTTATAGTAATCAGTTCATTGTCAAACTGCCCTACTGTTAGGAAGCCTCTCCTCATGTTCTGCAGAAATCTGCCTTCCTGCAACTTTAGCCCTAGATGTGCCCTCTAGATCAGGAGAGAAAACATGTCCTCATTGTGAAAGCCATTCAGTTATTGGCACTTTATTTATTTTACAGCTCCATTTTTAAAGTATTTTTAATGCCGTGGCAAAAAAATATTTGCAAGGCAGTTTGCAAAATAAAAACATGAAAAATGGTTTAAGTGTTTGTGCAATATGTACAAACATAGAGACACTCGAACGCCCACAGAGACGCACAGTTAACTAAAACTGCATTAGCATAATCTTCCGAATCAAGTAAAAGCATCAGTAGCTGGTAAAAGAAAAAAGTAACTGTAAAATATAAAACCAGCAGCAATTTAATGCAGGTTGAAACATCTAGACCAGGGTGGTCCAACACTTGGCTCGAGGGCTGCATGTGGTCCTTAAGGACTTGTTTGGCAGCCAAACTTAGCTGAATATGGCTACAGTTCTGGTACCTGCCAACCTGTCATATCATGCTAGCATGTCCCACTTAGAAGCACTCTTTGTAAATATGTTAAGAGGCTTTTAGAAAAAGAAACAGGAGGTTGTAAAATATGCCTTTTTATTTCTCCCGTCTCCACCTACCCCAGTCCCAGTTCATCCAGTTTTCAAAGACTTTGTATAACTTGTTTCACGGAGACCCAGAAGAGGAGCTGCTCTATCGCGCCATTGCCACTGTCACCAGCCTCTTGCTGAAGATGGAGGAGGTTGGCCGAAGACTCCAGAGCCCCACTTTGCCAGCCAAGAGCATGGCCCCTTCCACCTCCAACTTGGGCGCAGAAGATACCCGGAAGCCCCCAGAGGCTCAGCCTACCCCACAGATTGAAAGAGGTGGACCTCAGAGCCCACGCAGACCTGACGAATGGTCGTTCGCCTTTGAGCAGCTGCTGGCGTCTTTACTAAATGAACCTGCTTTGGTGAGATTTTTCGAGAAGCCAGTAGATGTCGCAGCCAAGTTGGAAAACGCTAAAGTTTCTCAGTTGAAAGCAAAGGCCAGAGTATAGCACCTGTCTGACGCTCCGCACAGAGGCACTTGGAAGGATGGAGGGCTGTTTGTGAGCTCAGCATCTTGAGTTTGTCAGGAGTTGGGGGGAGGGTTAAAGATTCAGCTCGACCCCCCTCTACGCCATAGGCAGGGTTGTTTGTGTTTTTGCGAAGTTAAAATAAGCATAGCTTGAAGGACAATTTGCACCTAAATTTTGCATTTTTAGTACACTCGGGAGACTTAAACCACATCAGCCAACACAAGCCAACTTGGAAGGGAATAGCAAGCTGGTCTGCCAGGGGCAAAGTTGGGGGTGGTTCGTGGTTGTTGTTTTCCCAAACCACTGTTTCGTGTTAATAGTTCTCATGCTGAATGTAATGTCTGCCACTTTTGCTGCAGAGTGGTGTTGGCCTTTACCTATTCTGTTGTAACTGTTGGTTGGATTTCCAAAGAATTGCTTCTTAAGCTCTGAATGTAGAATTTGTTTCCTGCTTTGGGAGAGATATTTTTTGATGGTCAGTTGAGCGTGGCTGTTTAAAAGGGCGGGGGGGGGGAGCTGTGTTGTTTCTGTGAATGGGACCAAGTGCTGCTTTTGATCATTACTGCTGTTGTTGTTTTTTAAAAAGTGGCTAGTTGATACAATCCTGGGGAACTTCCAAACCCAGTTCACCTCCCCACTGTTTTAATTTCTGGCCCCTTTTACTTGTGGGAGGTCCTGTGGTTCCCTGACCATGCTTACCCTAGATTAGCCCAGTTCACAGCGGCATGGAGACCACATTGCGATGGCGGCTTCCTTCCCAAATCCACTCTGGTAAAGGGAAGATGTCATGGCTTCTTTCCATGTCAACATCATCTAGTGAAGGTGGCGCTAGAATAGACATGAACTGCAGCCTGGTGTCTCCACTCAGGTGCCCCAGGAAGAACGAAGGAGACTTGCTCCTGTAATGCAGCGCTAGTGTGTGGATTTGGCTTTAGATCGGGGGTGTTTAACATTTTAGTTTATCTTTTTACTCAGGGGCCACATTCACCCTTGGACAGTGCTCCAGGGGCCAAATCCCACTGCGTAGCCCAAAGTGTAGGCACCCCACACTCTAAAAGGTTCACACACACACAGCCTCTCCTTCATGTTGATCAGTTGAGGGTGGGAGGGTGGGGTGGGGGTTACTGTCCACTCAACAAATGATGCATCTCATGACCAAGAATTGGGTGATTTGCGTCCACATCAGGGGGCTGGACCGTATGGAGGGGGTTAAACGTCTCTGCCCACCCTGGCTAACATGTCTGCAGTGTGTATTTCTTTTTGCTGCCTGCCACTGGTGTGGTCTTGGCGTGTGCCACTGGTGTGGTCTTGGCGTGGGGAGTGGGAGGTGCTATGCTTGGGACGGAGGTTGCATCAGGTCCCTGGGGCTGCAGCCTTCCTTTAAATCATCTGCTTCCTTTTTGAGCTAGAAATAAGGCCAGCATAAAGCAGTTTTGTAATACAGATTGCATGATACTTGAAGGATTATTGTGAAGTTAAGGTGAACACTGTTGTGGAGAACTGTTCCCTGCTGGTGTCTTGTATATCTCTGTAGGCTTTTAGGACTAAGCCAGTTTCTAGTACCTGTTTAATTGAAACACACATGCACGTGCGCACACATGGGGCTTATGGTCTCTTTCTTCACTTGTCTTCTCTTTTGTTGACATTGCTGATGTCATAATGGTTATAGGAAGCACTAAGATTTCAACATGCGCCTTCTTCCCAAATAATCTCCAGTGTCCCTGCAGGGTTTTTCTCAGCCAAATGGAGCTAGCTGATGCTAGAAGAAGAATTGGCAGTTTCAGTTCAGAACTATGTTCATAGTGCAGGTTGAGTGATGAGAAAGCCTGGCGAATCCATAACTCTCCATGGCTCAGGTGAACCAATTTCTTTTGATTTCCAAAGCATGTCATCCAATAGATCTGTTTACAAATTGTAAGGAAATTATCTTCCAGAACCTTGTAGGTACAATCTTTTATATGCAGAATGACCAGCATACATATTATAGGTACTAATCAGATTTTGATTACCAGTGACAGAGGTACTGTGTTTAGGGTTCTTTCTCTCTGTGTGTTTGTGTCTCCCCTCAGGTCTTTTTTTTTTTAAAAAAAAAGCATTTGAAATGTGCAGACTTCTTATCTAACCAAACAGCCTCTGGTGATATGTGCAAAGTAGATATTTGCTAGCAATGGGCATATTTGCTCAAGACAAGGAAGAATGAGCTTTCCAGCTCTGAAGGAAAAAGCTTTAACAATTGGCAAGGCAGAGGAGGAGAAATCAGTCCACTTTCTCTTAGCCTCTTTGGACCTTTCTATCTGCATCCCCGACAAGGCTTAATCTTAATTATGAGTATTTTGAAACAGGTCCAAAGTTTTCCACTAAAAGAACCTTCGGTCTAAATTCTATGCAAATAAACCAGCACTGTGGAAGGCGTATGTTGCCTTTTAAAAGGGACTGATTTCTGTTTGTCTCTGTTGCCCAGGGAGGTGGGCCTTTAGATCACAACCCACACACCTTGCCAATGAATGCAGCTTGGATTTTGGGAGCAGATGATTCTTTACAAGCTTGTTTTCCACGCTTACGTGTCTTCCCCTTATCTCTTTCCCATTCTTTAAGGATGGAATCTTGAGTTCTCATCCACAGGGATGAGAACAAAACAGAAAGATCCATTTTCTTAATATTATTCTGGATTTATTTTTCCAAACAGTTGCTCAGTTCAATATGGGCAAACCATGCAGCCTGATTCCTCCCTGCACCCCTTTCAAAATACTCCATTTTTAAGTTCCTACAGGAAACTCTTATTTACTGAAATCCAGTTGTTTTCCTCTTGGCTGCCTGAAATGAAACCTTCAATCGATGTTTTCCAGGAAGCAACAGAAGTCCTGACCTGGGAATTAAAAAGGACTTCACAGCTGTTGTTTACCAGGCAGCATAATACCTATGCATATCTATTTCAGCTTTATGCATGCAAGCTGGGAAGTGACATTTTTGAATGCTTATCTTTATGAAAGACTCCTTATTAACGTGAAGCTAAGCAGGAAAAAAAATTAAAAAGCTTCACTCTGATGCATTAGTTTTCTGCTTGCAGGTTTTCCTCCCCCCCCCCCCTAAAAACAGAAAGTGGGAGAACTTGCAGAAATGATATCACCCTGTTGCCATCTTAAGTGAGGAAGTCTATTCTACTGCCACAGTCTGCTTCATGCACCTAGCCTTGGAGAGACTGTTTCTAACTTAGGGACTCCAATTCCTTTACTCTGGTAAAAAAACAAGCATTTTGGCTTTGTGTTGGATGGGATTGCTGTAGTCTCTCCTTCACCACATAAAAAGAAGTTTATTAAGACAGAACTTTAAAGCAATCCCTAGGGCTCTGAATGGGCAAGTTGGGATCAACACCTTCCATGAAAAGCATTTTTCTTTTCTTTTAAACCTACCCTAGGGATTGAATTCCTTGGCACTAGTTTTGATCGAAGCCTACTATCCATTTCTTAGTGTGCTTAGATGGTGGAAGGCCACTGGGTCTGGGTTTCATGTTTGTGCCATGCTGTTGTTGTTTTTTCCAGTGGTACTTGCTGCAATCCAAATACCTGAATGATATCTTCCTGAGAGTCGCCTCTGCAGTTACCAGAGCATGCATGCACTCTCTCTTTCTCATCACACACAGGTGCTCTAGGCATTCTATGCAGCTGAATATAGAACATTTGTAGCTGAGGGGCAGCAGAACAGAGCAATGAAGCTTTAGATCCATGGTGGCTAAGTTGCAAAATAATGAGGTCATTTGGCACATAACACTAGGGATGATGGGATGCATACCATAGAGGGTTAGATTATCAGCTGCCATTTACTGTTCAGAGCAAGTTACTGAGCAAATACCTGTCAAAGCGAAGACTTCTCACACTATTGCAAACTCCAGCAAAGTTTTCGGGAGTGGGGGGATGCTACCTGTTGCGCAGGTAGAAAAGTCTGGTGGGCAGAGAGCCATTTTAGTAAGATCTGATTGCACAGGGACTTCACTAAAGGGTGGGGGTCGCATCAGGTGACTTCACTGTAGGTCACCTGATCAAATTTTCACTAACAACTGCAGTGATCGTTCATTGCTGTCGCGTGTAGCCATGCTGTTGCCTCGCAAGTTGCAACTTTTATAATACAGTTTGCCAAAGATGCAGCTGTAATTTCTTAGGGAGAACAACAACAACAACAAAAAAAGATGTATTTATCTGCCTTCTTCAAAGTTCCTCATCTTATTGGCTGTCTAACAAACATCTAATGGAGAGAAATATTGAAATAAGCTTACAAAAAATACGCGTGTAATTATCTTTAAGAATAAATTTCTAAATAAGATGAATATGGTATGTTTCCCAGAGGAACTGGATTATTTTATCCTTTTTGCTACCAAGGAAATAAAATATGTTTATGTGCTGGCGTTTTGTATTTTGATGACCATGTTCTGTACACAGCAAATTCACTGTATCTTTAATGAGAGGAGATGAATAAACGATCATTTCATGGAAGTAGCGCAGGTGGAAACCTGGCTCACAATATGCCTCTGACTGTCCATGGTTAAAACGTTGATGGTAGGATTTTCAATAGTGTTTTCTTGGGGAGGGAGGCAGAGGGGAGATGTTCAGAGTAGACCCTCTTCACATTGTAAAGGAGTAGGTGCTGGGACTGTGAGAGAACTGGGTGGTGGTTAGGGGGCAGGTGTTGTTAGAGAAAAGGGAGATGGCCCATCTCCTCTCTCCCACAAGCCTTTTAATTTTTTAAAAAACCTAGTGCCCTACAGAGGTTCCTGGGCTACAACTCCCACAATCCCTGACTACTGGCCATGTTAGCTGGGGCTGATGGGATTTGGAGTCCAGAAACAACTCTCAAAATGCTGCTCTGGACTTGCAGCACAGCGCCTCCAGTTCCCATTCCACAGATGTGGTCAATGGTACTGGAAGCCACAGAGAGGTCAAGAAGCAGAGGCAAGGTTGTGTGTCCCCCCCCCCCTTTACCACTCCCTGTTAAGGTAATCAGGGGTCCCGGATCCCAGCCAAGGCCGTGGGAGGCTGGGACACGGGAGAGGCAGCAGTGCCAACGGAAGGAAGAGCCCGAGAGAGACGCCACTTGGGGGGGTTGGGGAGGCCAGGGTGGACAGTGATAAAAGGGCTGCCCGCACTCCAACAGCACCAAAGAGGTTGAACTGCAAGGATGGCGCTGAGCGGAGTCAACCAGAGCCACATGCAGCCCGTTTGGGCTGAGATCCTGTCCCATTCTGCTGACATCGGCGTCCAGGCTGTGCCCAGGCTGTTCGCGGCCAGCCCCACCAACAACATCGCCAGCGCCATTCTGAGCGCCCTGCCCACCCAGAACCTGCTTGCAGACCCCCCCCGTCAATCTCGGGCTGCCGAACCAATGCCTCCTGGCGGCAATGGATGTCAATGGTCCGGACGTCAGCGTCTCCATCGACAGCCGCTGCATCGGCGTTGTGCTGACCTCCAAGTACCGCTAGGCCAGAGAAGCAGTCGTTGCCAGTGTGGTGTAGTGGTTAAGAGGGGTGGACTCGTAACCTGGTGAACTGGGTTCGCGTCTCCGCTCCTCCGAATGCAGCTGCTGGGTGACTTTGGGCCAGTCACACTTCTCTGAAGTCTCTCAGCCCCACTCACCTCACAGAGTGTTTGTTGTGGGGGAGGAAGGGAAAGGAGAATGTTAGCCACTTTGAGACTCCTTCGGGTAGTGAAAAAGCGGGATATCAAATCCTAACTCATCTCTTCTTCTCCGCAAAGGTGCTGCCTGGACATGGCAGCCTCGACCACGTCTGTCCCCCAATAAACCTGCTTTTAACTCTCTCTCTCTCTCTCAAAAAAAAAAAAAAGGTAATCAGGGCAACCATCACTGAGCTAAGCGCAAGTAACAAACTCTGAAAACTGACGAGAATGTTAGCAGAATGGGGTAGAAATAATCTGTCTATAGTACCGTAATATGCTAGAAATCCTGAATTGGCCTTTTTTGTTGACTTCTGTTCAGCGGTCAGCCGGCTTGCTCTGTTCTCATGAATGGGGGAAACTCTGCGCATTTCACCAAGTACAAAAGAGTAGACACCCAGTAAGAGTTCATAAAAGTACATTTTTATTTTTCTTTCAAAATACTATGTACAAATCTGTTAAAGCACATGGGAGACATGTTGATTCTTGGCCAATGGATCTTCACAACAGCGTGAGTATTCCCGGCTAGAATTCTTAAATGCCCCCATAAGACACTTCCTCACCCCCTCCCTGCCCATTTTACAAAATACTTTTATGAATAGGAACATTTATAAATGTATCTATCTTTGACATCATATAAAATAAACTAAATATTCAATTCTAAGGCTTTTGCTGCTTTTTAAAAATCTTTTCATTTCTGTCCTTTCTTGTCGTGTGGTTTTTTGTTTTTTTTACATAGTTAATATGCCACGATATAGACAACGTACGTTAGAAGAATCTGTATCTGTCAAACCAAACCTGGCCAGATCAACCAGCCGTTAGCTTATATATATTTATATCTATGTACAAAATGCATTTAAAAGTGCAAGACTTCAGAAATGTGCCTGTGTTTTCTGAAGCCTGTAATTGCGTTAACAAATCCTCTTTATACATCAAAATGAGGCTATAGCCTTCTCACATTTGTATTTCGAGGCGCCATGGGAAACTCTTGAGCCAGAGTTTTAAATAAACACCAGCAAAGAGTCCATGGGCCCATTATATCTAATATGGAACTGTTAACCAGTAGAACTGTCCCCTTGGATTCTCCAGGCTAATTAACTCTATCCAATTCCAAATTCTTCTCTCCCATAACACAGAGGTAAACCATTGGATAGCATCAGTTTCTTAAAAAATATATCTGTTTTGGGATGGGGAGAAAGAAAACAAGCTTGAAGGTTGGTGGCAGCTAAATCTAAAGTCCCCAATGCAGAGCTGACCTAGGCAATTGCCTAAGCAAGGCACTGCAGAAACACTGAAGGGGAGGTGCCGGATCATGGCCCCTCTCTCTCTTGTCAGGGGATGGGGAGAACTGGTTCAAACTTCACAATAAAATGGAACATGCATTTTGGCATAACGTTTCTTCCTCCCCTGAACAGTGCATGCGATGAATCAACACCGGGCAGTGACTGTCCCACCTCGTGCAACGTTTTATGAAGGAAGAAGTTCCTTACTAATAAAGTGCATGGTTTTACCTTTCCCCCAGTGTAAAACAATATCTCTTCCCCAGTGCACGTGGTTGCCATACTAAGGGCTTGATTTCTAAAGCACAGCCCACCACAAGCTGTAGTCTCATATAGGTCTGTATCGCTGTGGGGAAATGGGCATAACTCAGGCTCAAAAAGAGGGGGGAAATCCAAATGCCCTGCAAGTCTGTAAGATGATCCGTGAATTACCCCTCCTTAGACATGCCAAACCATGTTGGTTCTGTTTGACTGGGGTGTTTTCCAAAACTAATTTTGTTCACCAACATGCCCAGTTTTCTCCACAAAATCCGGATTTAAAGTTTTGAGTGCAGATAGCTAAAATAAGACAGTCAAGCTCTCCCACTTACTGGGTTTGCATGAGGAGCTCTCTCTTGTCCCTCAAATTCCAAAGTGCCTTGCGAGAGAAAAAGAGCCAGCTCTAGATGCCAGAGAGGGCATACAGCACTCTTCTCCACAGCCTCTGCTGAGTCTGTCACATAAAAAAAAACAATGGAAGTGGGGAAGGATGTCACGTTGACAACTTGCTGCAAAAACTTATTAAGGTTGACCCCCCCCCAGGTGTTCTAAAGTGCATGAAGATAGGGGATGGGAGGGGGAGAAATGTAACATTGGTGTGATTCTATGAAAGAGGCTGTGTACCCCCAACTATTGGCTGTGTTGACTAGGGATGATGGGAGCTAGAGTCAACAACCTCTGCAGGGTTTCCCAAAGGATTGCTATCCCTGTGCTCAAAGTGACAACGGAACAAAGGACCTAAGAGCGACAGAGGATGTTCCTTCACTCGCACCAAAAGTGTTGATACCACTACTATTGGGAGTGGATTCATCCTGCTGGGGGACTAGACGATTGCTGTGGCCTTGACATCACTATTGATACAAGTACACAGCAGAACTGGGTGTGCAGCTAATGTGCACCCTTTCCCTCTTAAAAGCGGTCCTACTGATGTCTCCTGTCTCAGCTGGATAGCTAAGTTGGTTAGAGCATGGTGCTGATAATGCTAAGGCTGCAGGTTTGATCCAGCTGCAAATTCCTAGATGACCCTCAAGGTCGCTTCCACCTCTATGATTCAGTGATTCAAGCAGATGCCCACTGCCTTGTGCCTGGCACCGGAAACTTTCTCCCCTGCATAAGATGATTTCAGTAGCATTTTCTGAAGGGAGAGCTAGCACTACCAAAAGCCAGTTACTTACAGGAGCAAAGTGACCCTATTCCAGGTTAGAGAGGGGAGAGAACCCTCAACTTGAAATGGCAGTGGTGCCCATTTAGAACTAGACACAGCTTTACATAATGGGTGGCTAACCTTTGACTCCCAACTGCAACTCCCTTCATGCATGATTGTTGGCTGGGGCTAATGAGAGCTGGAATCAGACATCAGCTGGAGGGCCACTGTGTTCCAAACCCTGGCCTAATAATGCCTTAGTTCCATTGCATCTGTAGTTGTAACAAATGAGCGTCAGTGCTGAGCTCGTTAGCAGAGACCGGCACAACATTACAGCGCCCACATGTGAAACCCTTTTCAGACAGCTGCTGTTGTTTAATAATGCCTTCCTACGCCTTTTTTCCAAGAAATGGCAGACAAGCTGACATTGTTGGTGCTTAGTGTGTTTTCATTTAGGTTTCTTGCATTTGGTTAATACATTTATTATTTCAAAAAAATAAAAGCCACAAATCCGAACATTTGAAACAGGCTCTCTGTAAGCCTCAACATTTTGCTGGGGTGGCGGAGCAGCTATCAGTGAAATACAGACATGCCTAGAGTTGCTCCAGCTTTTCTTCCTGCAGTTACCAAGGGGATAAAGAAAACCATATTCTACATTCTTTGAAATGCTGTTTGTTTGTTTTCTAAACTGGCATTTTGGCCCAGGTGCCTACTGTGCCCTGGGCCTGCCAAGGACTAAATAGAGGAGCTGGTTCCAGATTTATTGTGTTTTCCGTTCTCACACATACACCTTGGTGGAGAAGAGAGGGCCACTAAAAACTGGGAAGTACCAGCCAGAGGAAGGTCCGGCAACTGCTCTGCCTTTCCTTCCTTAGACTGACTGGGGGAAATGAACTGGAGAGAGATATAAGCTCTCCTTTATGTACCCACCCATCTTTTCCTAATGCAAAGCAATACATTGTGCATTACACTTGAAAGCAAGATGGTTCCAAGCTCCTCTTAAATGCCTTACATTCTCCTCTTAAAAGACACGGGACAAGCTGAAAAGGCCACTGCCCCCCAGTAGACTCTCTGCAGGTTTGGACTATGTATTGCAATTAAAGCAAGCAAAGTACACCTGTACACTTTCGAAGGGCTTGTGA